TTAAAAAAAATTAATTTAGAATTATTGTTGCCCCTTGGCCTGAGCAGTTCACCACCAATATTTGGGACCTGGCCTGATTGTGTCTAAGAGAATATGATTAAGTTCTTTGATACCAAAATCAGGCCATTTGTCCTATTTGCTCCCTCTGAGGGACACTTCTTCTCACAAATATTTCTCTTTGGTTTTGCTAGCTTTCTCCTTCTCTTTTTTTTTTTAAACACTCATAGAATCCGAGAATATCAGAGTTGGAAGAGACCTCAGGAGGTCATCTAGTCCAACCCCCTGGTCAAAGCAGGACCAATCCCCAATTAAATCATCCCAGCCAGGGCTTTGTCAAGCCTGACCTTAAACTTCTAAGGAAGGAGATTCTACCACCTCCCTAGGTAACGCATTCCAGTGTTTCACCACCCTCCTAGTGAAAAGGTTTTTCCTAATATCCAACCTAAACCTCCCCCACTGCAACTTGAGACCATTACTCCTTGTCCTGTCATCTTCTACCACTGAGAATAGTCTAGAACCATCCTCTTTGGAACCACCTCTCAGGTAGTTGAAAGCAGCTATCAAATCCCGCCCCACCATTCTTCTCTTCTGCAGACTAAACAATCCCAGTTCCCTCAGCCTCTCCTCATAAGTCATGTGTTCCAGACCCCTAATCATTTTTGTTGCCCTTCGCTGGACTCTCTCCAATTTATCCACATCCTTCTTGTAGTGTGGGGCCCAAAACTGGACACAGTACCCCAGCTGAGGCCTCACCAATGTCTAATAGAGGGGAATGATCATGTCCCTCAATCTGCTGGCAATGCCCTACTTATACAGCCCAAAATGCCATTGACTGCCTTGGCAACAAGGGCACACTGCTGACTCGTATCCAGCTTCTCATCCACTGTCACCCCTAGGTCCTTTTCCTCGGAACTGCTGCCTAGCCATTCGGTCCCTAGTCTGTAGAGTGCATGGGATTCTTCTGTCCTAAGTGCAGGACTCTGCACTTGTCCTTGTTGAACCTCATCAGATTTCTTTTGGCCCAATCCTCTAATTTGTCTAGGTCCCTCTGTATCCTATCCCTACCCTCCAGTGTATCTACCTCTCCTCCCAGTTTAGTGTCATCTGAAAACTTGCTGAGGGTGCAATCCACACCATCCTCCAGATCATTATTGAAGATATTGAACAAAACCGACCCTTGGGACACTCCACTTGATACCGGCTGCCAACTAGACATGGAGCCATTGATCACTACCCGTTGAGACCAACAATCTAGCCAGCTTTCTATCCACCTTATAGTCCATTCATCCAGCCCATGCTACTTTAACTTGCTGACAAGAATACTGTGGGAGACCATGTCAAAAGCTTGCTTTCACTCACTCTTCCCCCCCCCCCCATGCCCTCCAACCCCACATTTAAACCAATCCCAGGGAAACTCCACAAAGTCACAAACTACATGGTGTCTTTCCCTGCTCAGGCTTTGCAATGTGACCAGTGGTCTTGGGTGGTAGTTGCTATTATCTCCAGCTATGTCACACCAGAAAGTGGCTTAATTGCTCCCTTTTTAGCCTGAAAGAAGAGTGGTTAGCATGCCCATCCGCTTTAATGAGGTCTGTGATTGTCTGTACATCAGTGGCTGCGAACACCTTCCAGTACAGTATAACATTATATTTTTGGTGGTTGGTCTTTTTCTTACGACTTTTAAACTCAACCCATTATTTGGGGAAAGTTCAGCACACATTAATACAGAATGAAGTCCTGTCTAAAATATTTATACCGACTTATGGACTTAATGGAGAATGAAATCCCTGCTATAAAAAGGATATCATTCTCTAATCAAATCTATAGATTTGCAAAGCACTTTACATAAGTTTTAAGCTCTAAGTTTGATGGGTGAGTCTACAAAGCATTTTGGAGAATGCAGGAGGAGCCTCCCAGCCTGGAGTGACAGACCTGGGATAGCAGGGCTCGCCCAAGCACTCTACAAATAGCTGCATGAGACAAGGCATTGAAGTTGAGACTTGAACTGGAGTTCAGGCTCTGAAGCCCACCCGCTTCCCTAGGCTACAGAGCCTGAGCCTCAACTTCAAAGTGCTGTCTACACAGCTACTTTCAGAGCTCTTACTCAGGCCTGCTACCCCAAGTCTGGCAACCTGGGCTGGGAGGCCTGCTCCCACTCACTCCAAAATGGTATGTAGATATATTGGCCTATGGGGCTTTCCCCTAAGGGATATCACTGACTTCAGCCTTGTGAGAGCTGCGTGTTTTGACCCTCTGCCAGCTCCACAGTAATGGGCTCCAGGAAGAGGAGAGCAGGAGTCTGCTGTTGAATCTTTTGACAAGGATGCTGTCACCATGCCCCGTAGGTCATAGGTGAGAATACCAAATTCAGGACAAGCTCCTGGGGAAAAGGGTAGACACCCCCACCCCACAAAACTAGTGGTTATTCTTCCATGAGATATACTAAACCAACAACAAAAGTTAACTTCTGTCTCAACACACTGGCTAATGGGAAGTCCAAACTGCAGCCTCCTTAGGTATTCCACTCTTGGATTCAATAACCAGACACTAGACTTAATAATTGGGTTATTTAAAACCAATTTCATCAAACAAAGGTTCTTCTGATCCCAAAGGACCAGCCACGTACCCAGGTCAATAATAACACTGTTGTCAGATCTTTAGTATCTAACACCTAAAGGTTTATTTATACAGAAAGAAAAAGGTGAGCGTTAAAATTGGTTAAAGGAATTAAATACATACAACAATTGCAAATTTGTTGGATCAGGCTTGTAGCAGAGACGGAATGAATAAACTGCTGTCTTGTTAAGTCTCTGAGACCTCTGTACTAAGGGGAGCATTCTAGCAAAGTGACTGAGGATCTTCCAAAGATTTGGAAGCCACCAAAGTCCCAGCCTGGAGGCCAGTGGGGGCCCAAGAACCTCCCCACTGTGGCCCGCAGAGGAGAGACCTAGGCAAACACGCTGCCAGCAATGTCTGCAACAGGTGCCGCTCCCTGCAGCTCCCATTGGCTGGGGGAGAGGGATAGAGATTCAGCAATGGAGGCAGCATCATTAGTTGCCGGGCAGAGTCAGCCATGGAGGCAGTGTTACTTTTTTTCCACAATGAATATAAATACCGAACACAACTATTTGATGGCCACCTTGCTGCCATCCTGAAGGTTTCAACTTTTCAGTCACTGGGGCGAAACATCAACAAACTGACACAACTGAAGTGTTGCCAGGTGTCTAGAAAACACTAAAAACTCTCTAGCAGGCAAAGAATTGTATAAAGTTGTATGACAGTTTTATTATTTCTAAGAAATTCAAAATAAAAACTACACTATAAACATTTTTTCTTTTCTGAACCCATCTTCAGTGACATTATTGCCCCACTGGGAGGATTTGAGGACTGGCAGTGGCCAATTTACTAAGGTAAATTGAGTTTGAGACCCCTTCATTAGTACACATTCATAGTCCAGAGGTTTGAGAAAGAAAGAGGCAAAATGCAGATGCTTTCAGGGCCTTTTGTATCTTCTGCCAAGTGAAGGGAAATCCATTGTTCTAGTTTTTGTAAAATTACAGGTAGCAAGATGGGGTTTGGAGTCACTTGGGCAAGTCACATGTCCATACATGCTTTGCTTAGTCATAGCAGAGGCCATTACCCATGTTCTAAACAGAACGTTCACATGAAAGTCCATCAGTTGTGGATGGACGTCTTCCATGGTCCATTGTGAGTTAAGTTTTCCTTGATGAGCCATTTCACTTGAATAGTCGCTTCAGGATGTGCAGGCTAAATACCTTGTGGGTGTTACCACAGGAGCAAATACTTGAAATACAGATACATAGTTATAACTTCAGATACAAAAATGATATATTCATACAAATAGCATAATCATATTTGGCAAATCATAACCTTTCCATAGACCAGTTATTTGACATACTTTGTACAAGATTTGTTGCAATTATGTAACAGTGGTAGCAACAATGATCTACATGTTTTAATCACATATCATCACAGTTGCTAAATCCTAACCCCAGTGTTTTCGTTTTGTGGGTGATATGGTTTCATTTGACTTACTGACTTCTAGACAATTAGTGTTTTATGCAGTAGCCAGAAGTTAAAAACTATTCCTTTCATCTTATAAAATCAGATCCCCTTGCAAATGAAAACATAGATAAGATCTTTAGATAGCATAAATAGCTATAAACTTGTATAGCTATTTATGCTAAGAATTACAGATTTGGCAATTGTGCCATTCTTTCAAATTTAACACCAAGTATAAAATTACATAAAAAGCATGGCAATAAAACTACCATCTAACTGTGTATGCCTGACTTGCACAAATGTATGCGCAACATTTGTACAACTCTTAATTGTAGGAACAAAGTTTGAGGACTTCAGCTGGCTGATTTACAAACTCTCACTGGAATAAAATAATTAATTCAGTAACTGTTTAAAATTCAGAGCAACTAAAAAATCATGAATATTAAACAAGTTCTTCAGGGGAAAGGAGGGTGAGATTATAAAAAATATAATCTACACCAGGGATCTCAAACTCAAATCACCACGAGGGCCGCATGAGTACTAGTACGTTGGCCCAAGGGCCGCATCACTGAAACCTTTTCATAGAACGATACAAAAGTATAGTCAAAAATGAAGAGTAATACATTGACTTTTAATAGCATACTATATTAACTTTTTAAGAACAATAATGCGAAGAGGGGTTTTAAGGAATAGTTACAGGTGTTTATATTTATTATGTGGTCAGTAACACCGATGATGATCTATACTAACAGTCTATCAACATAGCTGTAATGGCAGGAACTTTTTAAAGTAACTATTCATACAAAATACATTGCCACTTTTAACAAACATTCTTCCCAACTACTCACAACAAAGAATCATGCATGCTCAACTTCGTACCTCAGACTGCTCATCTAGTCCATGAGGCCCCGCCCTTTCCAACCCCTTCCCCATATCCCGGCCCCAGCTCCGCCTCTTCTCCACCTCCTCCCCTGAGCGTGCTGTGTCCCCGCTCGTCTCCCCTCCCTCCTGGAAAGTCCTAAGTGCCGCCAAACAGCTGTTCGGTGGTGAGAAGTGCTGGGAGGTAGGTGGAGGAGCAGGGACATGGTGTTCTTGGGGGGGGGGAGATGGGGGCTTGGGGGAAGGAGAGCTTGGCTGCCAATGGAATCGGTGCCTATGGCGGGCCACAGGAAATAACTCTGCAGGCTGCATGTGGCCCACAGGCCATATGTTTGAGACCCCTGATCTACACAATGTCTCAACATACTGGACTGTTGTAAGCAATAATGTGTGTGTATGCATCTGTTATTTACCCAGTAGTTTTCCTCTTCTGTGTGTTATCCCATGTGCTAAGTGACTATAAACTAGCTTGGATGTTGATTGTTCAAATCTGTTTTGGTGATGGTCTGCCCCAGGAAATCTGGAATATGACAAAGCTAGTATCTTTGTGGGATGAATCCATTTATAAATTAGCACTAATACATTTATTGTATAAATGACCCACCAAGAAAAGTGCTAATAGAAGCAGATACCAGCACAGATTAGGCAGGTGGAAGAAAGGTGAGGGAAAAACAGGATAAAAGTTTTAGTTAGAGGGTTTGTTCAAAGTAGACCAAAAGGGCTTTTGTGGCCAAATGGCTCATCAATCCATCCAAATGCAGAGTCTGTCAAACTCTTTCTCTGTTCCATCTTGGTGAAGAATTCATTCCAACTGAGCTCAGCCACTTCCCTGCCTGGTTAGGTTCCCTGGCAATCTCTGCCTTGGTATTAGTTTGTTCTTGCCAGCTATTGGCTGGAGCCTGGAAAAGATATTGTCATGGGTTCTAAAGGCCTGTTAATTCATTGGTAGAGGCTTAAGTACTACTTAAGCAGGGAGGTTTTCTTCCTCAGGGCTTGCCTATACTTACAGTACAGCTGTAGTACTTAGTAAAGACGCTATCTATGCTAATGGGAGAGCTTATCCCATTAGTGTAGGTGCTCCACCACCCTGAGAGGCAGTAGCTATGGCAATGGGAGAAGTCCTTCCTTCGACAATACTGTTTACACTGGGGGTTAGTTTGGTATAACTATGTTGCTCAGGGGTGTGGATAATCAACGTACTTGTATTGACATAAGTTACTAGTGTAAAACAAGCCTCAGACTCCTGTTTCCACTCCTTTCCCCCTCTGTGTGCTCAACATCATAAGGCAAACAGCAGGGCCTCTGAAATGTTACATTCACGTGTAGAAGCTAAATTGAGAGCGGCTTCCAAATTAGTTTCTGGAGTAAAACTGGAAAAGAAGCCCAGCCATCAGCAAAGTGGCGCTGAGTGTAGCGGCCAGGCTGGAGGAAGAACTTGGCATCCTGCCTTTGCTGCCACCAAACTTCAGTCAGCCGCAGATCTGAACTGTCTGTTCACAAATCACTATAGCAGGCCTCTTGCATCTTAGGGGTTGTCTACACTGGCGCTTTACAGCTCTGCAACTTTCTCGCTCGGGGGTGTGAAAAACACCCCCAAGTGCAGCAAGTTTCAGCGCTGTAAAGCGCCAGTGTGGACAGTGCACCAGTGCTGGGAGCCGTGCTCCTGTGCTGGGAGCCGTGCTCCTCCTGGGGGTATTTTTAGAGCACTGGGAGAGCTCTCTGCCGCGACCATACAAGCCATGTTAAAGCATTGCTGTGGCAGCGCTTTAACGTGGCCAGTGTAGACTAGCCCTCAACTACATAAAGTAACAAAACTTATGAAAATAAATAGGTGCAATATCCTAGACCAGTAACAGATCAGGTATTCAACTATAAACTGATAAAATGAATAATACAAAAAAAAAAATCATTTCCTTCTTCATTTTCGTACTAAGTCAGGGAATTAGAGTGACATCTCAAACCCCTAAAGCAGGCAGTTCAGCAGGCATCTGAGATGGCATCAGCGTTGTAGTGGAAACCCAGAACCCTCCGCCTGATTTCAGGACTTGGTGCATAAATGAAGGAGGAAATGATTTTCCAATCTTTAATTTTTTTTAATGTAGCTGTTTATAATTAAGAAGTCTGTACTAATCTTCTGTCACTTAGTGTGAATCTTTAAATAAAAGGTTTTGCAGATCATCTTTACTGCTTCTTTCTAAAACATTATTCGAATGCTGCATACGGTTGCTTTTTGTTAGCTGTTATTTGTGTCACAGCCATCGTGTGTGTATCTATAACTAAAAAAACCTTACTACAGTAAATAGGTTTCACAAGTTTCCTTTTTGTTAAAATGAATTTAATAGTCACCTTGATCACCTTGAGTGATCGGTCCTTCAGCCCTCATATAGATTTCATCGATCACAAAACTTCTTCCATTCGTCTCTTATCCTGGCCTTCCTTCTCCATGTGCGGCCTTGCCTTTTCACAGTAAAAACTTCCCATCTCTTTGGAAGTTGGCAGAGTGGTCATTTCAGTTCTCGTGGGTACCACTTGCGAGACTGGCAATCCATTGATTGTCAGTGAGCCTAGATGCCCGGCCCATTGCATTTTACTGTACCTGCTTTCAACAACGACATCCTATACTCCAGTCTGCTGTCTGATTGCTTCATTGGGGACTCAGTGGTCGATAGAAATCCCCAGAATTCTTCTTTCCATCGCCCTCTCTGTGACAAGCAGTTGTTGCTCCTTTATCTTTGTCAGCGCCCATGTTTCGCCGCCATACAACATTTCATAGTAGCATTAAGATACTGTACTTTAAGCGGTGCATTTCAAACTGACTAGTGCACTTCTCAAGTAGTTGGTCTCTCGACTTTTGACCTTGTGTCTCTTAATTTTGGAGGCTTCTTGGGTTGTTGACTTTTTCTGACCACTGGATAGATATTCAGAAGCAGTCAAAGAAGCAATTTTCCGCCCCCTCCCTAAGCGCTGTCTATACAGATATTTTTCGAGTGCTAGTGTGAGCCCCACTAGCCCCCATCTCTTGTCCTGGGCTGGGAGTCTCAGTCCAAAATGCTGTGAAAACAAACCCACAGAAATCTTACTGTAGCGTTTTTTACACTGTGTGTTTTTATAATAACAAAACCACCTTCTTCATAAAACACAACTAACATGGTTATGTTTGTTCAGGTTTGCTGGCAAACCTTTTTTTTTTCCATATCACCACTTTGTAAGAAATAAAAGGTCATTTAAATCAAGAGTTAGAAAGTTTTTGGTGTAATTGAATTTTCCTTTCTATCTTAGATGAATAGCACAGATCCTTTTTATAATAATGTCTGTTAGTATATATTAACATATTAAATATATCCATGTGTAACTATATTATTCACTTGTATTACATTATTCTCGTAAAATGACAGGATATAAGATATTAAATAGTACAATGTGCTGTAATTACTTCTCACGTTCACTGCAGGAATGCTGCTGTTAATGCTTCAGCTGTAATCTAAAATGTTAACAATACAGGGATATTTTGAAGGCCCACAATGTCAAAAATCAGCATGAACTTCTGCATGCCATGCTCCCTATTTGCACATGTGCAATCCTGTGTGTGTGTGGGCTCACGGGCTCTGGCTATTTCTATGTGCTATGGGTGCATGCAATTGTGACTTAAAAATTTGGGCCAAAATAGCATTTCAGAAGTCCCAAAAATTACACTATATCTAACTACAATTTCACTGGTATTTAGACATGCAGTACATAGATAACTTATTGGAAAAATTAATAAAACTACCTGGTGTTTACCTTTAACTTATCCAAACACATCTAATCAATGTAGTTTTACTTTAAATATTTTACACACATAAAATCTTATTTAAAATGCATCTGTCCTGTCGAGTGACAGTTTTCTGTAATATGATGTATGAGAGTTGGGTTTGAGTTCTTGCCCCCAGAGGCCCAGAGATTAAATGCTCCACTTCTTCTTTCAACATTTATCTACATGCATGATTTTAAGCATGGACTACCAACATGCTTAAAGTTAACCATGTGTGTAAGTGTTTGTACTATCAGGGAGCTGAACAACAAAAACTCTTTGGCCTGCGTGCTGCCAGAGGAGACAAGTCTATCAGATTATCTAAGAAAGATTCAGCCTGGTAAATCCTTGGATGGGAGACCTCCCAAGAAGAAAGTAGCCAGTCTTCTCCCACCATGTTTTTAATGACTTTTCATGGTTTTTCTTTTAATTCTGATTGAATGGCATCTCTCCTGTATAATGATAACTTTCATTTCAAATGTTCGCTCTTTCAGTTTTCATGATATTGGCTTCCTAACATTTATTTTATTAATCAAATTATTTTTATGTCAGTAAATTTTTAAAAAAGTCTTTATGACAAATGTGTGTATATTTCATATACTGAAATATTTTCTGTTTCAATTTTTCAGATTAATCGAGCCCCAAGCTTTGGAACTGACCAAAAAATAGACTATGATGTAAAAAAAGGTGTTCTGCTAAATGCACTAAAGCTTCTCAATATAAGGTAAACTTGCATTTTAATCCTCACCCTACTTTTTTTTTTTTTATAGGAGTGTGACGTTTACTGCCCTTTTTTTTTCTGTTGAATGTGGGAAAATCATGGGATATGCGCAGGATGGAAAATTTTGTTACCAGTCTTAAATTGTGTGAATGGCAAAGTTTTCTTATTTACCATTTTTACTATGTGTACGTGACTCAACGTTAACTTTAGTCCTCATTAGTGTGCATTATAAAAAAAAAAGTATTGATTACCATTCCTGATTCTTGTTTTAATAATTTTTCACTTGGGTCTCACTCAGTGTGTGGATGGTAAGTGCTGGCACGGGTTCACTGTCACTTTGGTAGTTTGTTCTGACGGCAGCGGCCTCCACAATTGCAATCCATTTCTACTAACACCAGAACACAGAGGTGGGGTAAAGTGGAGGAAATGGTGCAGTTTTCAGTTGTAAACCTAATAGAAAATAATTAAGTTAAGGTCAATGTGGCACATTGGGTGGTAGCACAAAGTCAGTACAGTACACTTAAAAGCACAGAGTTATCATAGCCATAAAAACTGATACTACAAGAATTCATTCTTAAGCAGTATTCATTTTTTCATCTTATCTATAAGATTTATAGCATAAAGTGTTTGACAGGAAAAAACAGAGGTTTTCTTTTACAGTCAAAGCATCTCTCAGCTCAAATGTGCTATGAAATGACAACCTGTACACAGTGGTTAATACATTAGACCCTTGTCCTGGAATTGGATCTGGGAGGACAGATCCCTATGCCTGTGCAGTACCCCATTGATTTTAGTGGGATTCTGTACAGCTATAGAGGTCTGCCTACATGGAGTCCCATTAAAATTACTGGGGGGTTCCACACCTGTGCAGACCTGATTGCATGTTGGGACAGTATCCTGTGACTGTGCCAGATAAATATGAACAAAAGATTTCATTATAAAAAAACCTAAGAATTCAGCTATGTTTATAACAATGTAATGCAGTCTTCTCCTAATCCTGATTAAAAGATATTACTTTCCAGATTAACTGAGTCATATCTGAATGTAATCTGTATTTTAGGACAAGTGATAAAAGGAGAAACTTAGCCCAACAAAAAGCTGAGGCTCAAAAGAGACTTTATGGTCAAGGCTCAATGAAAAGACTGTCACCAGGATCCTCTGACTGGGAAAAACAGCGCCACACGCTAGAGAGGAGAAGAGAAGAACTGGTATAAAGGAATTTTACAAAGCTACTCCTCCTTCCCTCCCAAGGCTCGTACTCAATCAGTTTTAATTCTTTCTTACTTGATTTCTAGAAAGAAAGACTTGCACAAGTTCGTAAACAGATTTCCAAAGAAGAGCATGAAAACAGACACATGGGGAACTACAGGTAACTGTGCCCTCCATCTTTCTGCTTGAGTGGGATGAATCAATCCAGAATTGAATGATTTATTTAAGGATAATGAAAATGTGAGGCAATGATAGATTTTCTGCAGAAAAATTATTTACAGGAATGTATTTTAAGTATTGATGTGCACCAGATGCTGTCTTTTTTCCCAGGTAATAGAACTTGTAATCCAAGGTGTGTGTTTGCATCTGGCATTTATAAGGCATCAGTTATGTGGTCTATAGGCACTAACATAATTACCTGAAAGACTTGGACATAAATGTTGAGTGCACGTAGAAGCATGGCTGCAGATAAAGGGCCTGTTCCTGCAGCCAGGCAATAATCCTATTGCTAGCAAGTTGTAGGCAGAAAGGGGGTGATAATGATGATGCCTATCTACGGTATGTCTTTAGGTATCTTTGCCTTGAAAATAACAAACAACAATTTTAATGAAGCAAAGATCGCATTACTTAATAGTATGTTGATTTTGTTATGTTCTAGACAAAGCACACTGTATTGATTTAATATTTGAAAAGACAAATTTAAGTACACAACAATGAGTAAGTATCTATGGTAAATATTATATTTGAAAGTAACACCCTAAGAAATAAAGGGTGTTTTTAACATCAACTCCAGGACTGAGGGAGTACATAGGTAAGCATTATGCCACCGTGCACTCTGTATAATTCGGTCAGATACCAGGATCTGACTCTGTACTTTTAAGATACAAGTAAATTATTGTTTTAAAATGTTAATGAAAAAATCTAGATTTAAAAAAAAAAGCTGCCTTACAATATGGAAAGATGAACAATCCATTACTATTGTTGCATGGGATGACATGAGTGTTTTAAATGAGAACTGCAAGAAACTTGTATGTCTGCAAGTTGACAGACCTGTTTTAGACCTTTGAGTGTAATTGTTTTGTGAACAAATGGTCTCTTATATTAGTCAGGCATATTTTCTTCTGCCTTTGTCTTGCACTGAAATAGAAAACACTTTGGATCAGATTCTTCCCTCGTTTTCACTGATCTAAATGCACAGTAACACTATTGGCGTCATATAATACCTGTATAATTGAGAGCAGAATGTGGCCTATTATCTTCTCAATGTATAAATATAGGGCAGTATCCTGAGAAGTACAAAGGATCTATTAAGCAACTATAATTCCCATTGATTTTAGGACCAACTCCATAATTTTTACTGAAGAGGATATTGATGTGAAATTCAAATTTATTATAGAAGTGATTTTCCAGAAATCAATTATCTGAGGTTTTGTGCATGACAGTATCTGGGCAGTAGAATATAGTCTCAATGCTTTCTTTTTTTTATGGGAGAAAACTTACCAACAGATTCATACTGGCTCAGGATGCCTTTTTCATAAAATGAGATTTCACACCTTATATTCACTCACTCTCCCTTACAGTCCTCTTAAAACTTTGGAGATCCCTCAAGAAAAGTGAAATTAATGTTTGTGACAGAGTGGGGAAGCTTCTACTAGCTATTTCCCTTGCCTTCTCTGATGCACTTCTGGCTCCTACTAAGGGCACCCTGGCCCTCTCTAATTCTCCCTTGCTCTCTGTGGAACTTCTATGGTTGCTCCTAATTTCTCCATTGGCACAGCCTTGTCTGTAATGCACACAAAGCATAGCTGCTGAATGGTTATGAATTATGCTAGGTTTTAATTTGTTTTAGACCAGTGAAAAATTTTCCATTGGCCTGAGATCACTGAATATTCACCATAGCATGCAATAGAAAACTGTATGTTACCCTTCTGCCAGGTGGAGCCAGCAGCAACAAGGGCCAGGTTCAGTATCTAGGGGTTCCTTTTCAACAATACAACACAAAACTGGCTCAAGCCCCCACCCAGTGACCTGGGACAATTACACACCACCCCCTGGGTGCCTCTAAGAGGCAATACTTCCCCTCTCGCAAGCACAGAGTCTGGGTGTAGCAAAAGCTTTTAATAAAAGGACGGAAGTAACTCAGCATTAATTTGGGAAAACACCGCATCTAGGGTTCATAAACACAAACCATGAGCAAAAGACCCACCCCCAAGTAAGTTGGGCAGTGTCCTTTCCCCTCAGGTTCTTAAGTCCAGCAACCCAAAAGTCCCTTTAATGTGTCCACCCCTTCTCTGTATCCCACTCACAGCTTCTGTCCTTGGCCAGTGCAGCCCCAAAGTTCAGAGGTTCATCTGCAGAGTTCACTTTCCACCCAGTGTGGAGGTGGGGGTAAGGAGGCACCTTACATGTTTCACTGCTTGGGCACTCGCTCATCACCCCAACGGCCGACTGCGTGGCTCTGCTCTGGCCCTGGCTCTCCGCCAGCCATGCTACTGGCCACTCACCAAGACATCTTTTGCTCCCCCCTTGTAACACAGCTCTCAGTGATTTCAGCTGTTAGTGATGAAGCCTCACTGCTGGTGCATACTGGGCAGTGTCTTGCAATTGAGACACTGTCCGAAAGTAGGTATAATATGTAGACTTAGGTATCCGTGATTTCAGCTCTGCAGCTTGTAACAAGACTCTCACTTGAATCTAAATTACTTCTTTTATTATACCATGGAGAGAGGAAGGATCAAATGGTGTCTAGGACCCTTAAATAGGGCCCACACCCTGTATCAACTCATTGGATTTTGGAACCCAAGTCCCCTGCCTAGCGAGTGTTGTTCAGTTGAGTGAGTGTCCCTCCATTGGGGTATGCCAGGTACAGTTCTGCTGCCCTCGGTTCACACAACAAGGATAACAACCCTTTTGTACTCCTGCCCCAATAACAAGGAGACTGGGGATCTGACACCAGCCACAAGTGATCATTTGGGCAAGCAATCCGATCATGCTGAGCACCTAGGCAGGGTGGGTGTGTCCATGCAAACGAGATCACCTTCTGAAGTCTTTTTCCACAGTTCACCACTAGATATCAGGGGAGAACTCATTAGGACCCTGCTTACATGTACAAAAGTATATCTGAACCAAAGCTACTATGTTTATTTTAAACCAATGTGTGTGAATCTAGACTAATGCAATTTTATGAAAACTGAAAACCAAAAGTTTTTTTTCACATACAGTTGGGGAAAAAAGACTGTTTGTCCAACCACTGGATAAGGGAGTGCTACATATCGCTCTCCAGCAATCTTCTCTGGCAGATGCCTGGATTATATTAAGTCTAGCGAGAACATGACCACTCTTCTCCCTCTGAGTGAAGGTCACTGCAAGAGGTAGCTTTTCAAGGAGCCAAACATTGTGAGCAGGCAAAAGGGGAGCGATTCTTTTTCAAAATTCACAAGACTTAGTGTATGTCTACACTGCACTGCGAAACCTGCACTTGTGGACTTGGGGTTTCCAAGTCTACGGTTGAGCATGCACACTGCATTGTAAACCCAGGTTTACAGTTGCTGGAACTGAATCTCTCAACTATGCTAACGCATCTACACTGCACTATGCAAATCTTCTGACCTGGGTCTATGGCTTGAGCTGCGTCCACACTTCAAAATGACAGGGTTTGGACCCAAGCCACAGTGGGACTGGGCCTTGGACCCACACCCTGCTCCTGTGTGCTTGTGTAACCTTTGGGTGGGCTAGAGTTCACTTTATCTTTCTCCAGTGCCTAAAAAAAACCTTCCAGCTCCCTTAGAAGAGTAGCTGGAGACCCAGAGTTCAGTCTCTAAGGATTTTCAGCAAGGATTGCATAGGGTCAGCCTCCTCCCCCCATTTAAGTCTCAAAAGGAAGTAAGAAATAAATTTAAATAAAAAACTTTATAAAATCTTATGATAAAGAAACAAATAATCTATTTTTATCTAATCTTCTATCTTAATGTTTTTCTAATAGTGAATGTTCCTGTCCATTATGTTAAAAGGGTTACTGGGGTAGTGCAGTATGTCTCTAAGCTTTAATGTATAGCATGCCCATAAATCTAATCTTAAATTTTTACAGCATGACATGGCTATTTTATAATCCACAGACATTACCTTCACATTTATACATAAATGTGAATAAAGAAAACAAATTAAAATCTGAACAGTTCAGTCCCCACAGAAATACAGTGAGAAGAACCTGAAAGTTCCCAAAAGCTTAGGTTTTGTTCACCTAAGTCTCAGTTAGCGTCTTTGATCACCAAATGTATACAATCTGCTGAGTCTAAAACCTCTTACTCCACTTGCTTGTAGGAATCTTCGGTTGGAATCCATGCAGACTCTTCCTCTGCTGAAATCACTGCTAGCCAGTCAGCTAACTGATTAACCAACCACTCAGTTAAGTGTATAGATTTGAAGAAAAAAAACACATTACCAGAAAATACAAAACTGAGAATAGCAAAATAGAAATGTCTCTTTCCCCGTTACTACATTTAAAGAAAAGCTGGTGACTCAGACTAGTTGAGACAATTTTAACTAGAACAGTTTGGCTAAAATCAAAACCACATTCAAAGCATACAATTAAAATAGAAGAATTTGTCCCTCCCAATTTCCCCTTGCTATAATTAGCATTGCCCAGGCTTCCCTGTTAGAGGGTTAACAATATCACTAACCTGCTGCAACATGCTTCAGAGTTAGGGACAACAGCCTGCTTCCTGCTCCTGGGCTCAGCTTTTCCCAACTCGCACAGGACACATCGCCTTCTGCAAAGCAGCTGCTCTGACTGCTCGCCCTCCTGGAGTCTGACCCCAGCAACAGGGAACCTATTGGAGCAGACCCATGGCCTTCTGCAAAGCAGCTGCCCTGACTGCTCGCCCTCCTGGAGTCTGACCCCAGCAACAGGGAACCTATTGGAGCAGACCCAAAACTATCACACCCAATTCCAGAAGCGTCTGGATGTGGAGTGCTTCATCTGCCTAGCAACAATGACCCGGACACAGCTCAGTCCTAGCTTCCCCAAAATGGGTCTCTCAAAGAGTTATCTCCCTATTAAGCACATGGTTACACTTGCTTACCCAAGTCAGAAAGGCTTGTGTGTGGACAGTAAGGGGGCTTGGGCTCAAACCTGAATCTGAGCCTGGGTTTACAATGAAGTATAGACATCCCCTTAGAGACCCACTAAAATACACCAGTTAATGATGCTGACTGATTATAATCTAAAGGAGTACTTGTGGCACCTTAGAGACTAACCAATTTATTTGAGCATGAACTGTAGCTCACGAAAGCTTATGCTCAAATAAATTGGTTAGTCTCTAAGGTGCCACAAGTACTCCTTTTCTTTTTGCGAAATCAGACTAACACGGCTGTTACTCTGAAACCTGATTATAATCTATTTGCCCACTTAATGTAGATTAGAAATCAGTCACCAGGTTTTACAGTCTCTGGCTATGCTTCAGTTTTTCCTGAAAAGTAGATTAGGGATGATTCTCTTCAGAGCCAATTGTTTCTTTGTAAATGTACATAAATCACTCAGTCCTATTTTTGCATTGTCATAATCTTCCTACCCACAGTTGTAAAGAATAATGGTCATAGCTGCTGTAATGGAAAATTGGAGCCACTCTCCATCTTTGTTAGATAATGTTTTTCTAATAGTGAATGTTCCTGTCCATTATGTTAAAAGGGTTACTGGGGTAGTGCAGTATGTCTCTAAGCTTTAATGTATAGCATGCCCATAAAAGCGTAGTAGTTAATCAGTAAGATTTTCAATCCTTTTGTATTGCTTTGTTCCAAAACAAAATATTTCATGCCTCTGAATTCAGCATTTTGTTAATGTTTCATGCCTCATTCACATCTGAAGTTGAAATTTCAGTGAGTATTCCAAGACTCAGTCATGATATTTCTGTAGAAGAACCTGCACTGTCTTCTTTCTTTCCTTCTTTCTTTCGCCAATTGCTGGCTAAAGCATGTGTGTGTCCACTGAGCTAAAGTTAGGTGAGAGAGTCTTATTCACAGTATGCATTTAATAGTAATTACAGACTGCCTAAATCTCCTACATGAGTTTTGTGAATTAGTTACTTTAGTTGTATTCCTTGTGTGGTCAGTAGCTCAACTTTATGTTCTACTTGTCTCCATTTCATTTTTTCTAATTGTAGGCGAATTTACCCTCCTGATGATAAGCTGTTACTTGAAAAATATGAGAGTTTGTTAGCCATTGCTTTCCAGACGTTCCTTGCTGGGAGAGCAGCTTCCCTTCAGCGGGAGTTGAATAACCCTTTGAAAAGAATGAAGGTACTAGTGTGCAGAAGTATTGGCTTTAAAGTTATGTATCTTGGAATTCCATGACCCAGCATGAAGTTTTGAATCAGGTTTGAATCATCTTTGCTCATGTGTCATTAATAACAACACCTTATAATTTTTCTGTAGTTTTATTGTTCTTCATGTAGCTTATTGGCCAAATTCCTGAGTCTGGATGAACTGCACTGGACATAAGACCCAGGGTGGAGATAGGACAAGTGGCTTTAAGCCACTTTTCCATTTTCTTGATCCTCAGCCTGACCTGTGGCCAAACGAAACCCTAGTATAAACCCCCATAAAGACAACTCTGCCTACTGGTAATTGCCTTCTTTCTCCCCCAGTAATGGTCCCAGGCTACTCCGGGATGCCCACTATAGCTGGATGGGACAACAGCTGTCATAATGCCAGCTCCACTATCTTTATGGCCCTCAGGGGAAATTCCTAGAGATAGCCACTTGAAGAATGGATATATTTGAAATGGCCAAATTATCATGATTTAGAAGTCATTGTTCAAATCATTGATTTCCACTGGAGTGGAATACATCAGAGGAAAGAATTTAATATCAAGATTTTATTATTTTATCAAAATAGTCTTTGGAAGCATGTGAATACACGTATGAGCACACACAAGTGTTTAGTGATTATTTGATCAGAAAATCACTTTTTAAATCTCAATCCAAACTGCCACTTTACTCTTGGAGGAAAGGTGGGATGTGTTTTGAGTTGTCGTTTTTATTTACAACGCTTTGCATTAATTAATTCACATTTTCAGGAGGAAGATATTTTGGATCTTCTGGAGCAATGTGAACTAGATGATGAAAAACTGATGGGAAAATCCACTAGGCAACCAGGACCCAAGGTGTGTGACTGATTTTTAAATTAATTTGTGCCAAAGATGATTAGGCTAGCCAAGCTGCAGGCAGCAATGGATGGGTTGGTTACAAGGCACATGCATATTCTTCCCCTACAGCCTTGTGGAGCTTAAGCTGATTTGGAGATGAGCTCCTTGGCCCATCTGTGAGGGGGCAAACCATGACTTTAAATGGAATTATAAAGGAGGAGCTATGCGTGGGGAACTTTCTTCCTCAGAGCTCCCTTGTATAGGTTTTTTTGGGTTGCAGCAGGGGCGAAGATCTGGGCCCAGGAAATTGCCATCTGCCCAACTAAATTCCCAGGGACGTGCTGGCCACCACTTCCTGCAGCTCCCATTGGCTGGGAACGGCGAACCGTGGCCACTGGGAGCTGCGGGTGGCCGTGCAAGTGTAAACAAACCGTCTGGCAGCCCACCAGTGGATTACCGTGGTGGGCCGTGTTCGGGCCACAGGTTGCCCATCACTGCTTTATATCCTTTGCCTATCTCAAAGGGGTGTTGTGAGCCTTAATTTATTAATGTCTTTAAAGAACTTTGAGGTCATGGGATGAAAGGCACTCTGGAAGTTCAAAGTATTAATTATGATTATGATATGTGTGTGTGACTTGATGTACTGCTAAAAGTGTCATCCTGCTACAGAGGATGTTTCATGTCCAGAATCAGATTTTAATTGAAATGTGTATTAGTTTTAGCGTAGTTCCTGTGGATAGTGCACACAGTTCCTATGAAGCCCATTGCATTAAATTCATCTTCTCACCCATCAGCAAAGATTAATTACTGTATTATCAAGCCTAAATTATTTATTTGCCTACATTCTTCAATCCTTCTAACTCAGTTTAGAAAAGCTCACATTTCAGGTGTTTGCATTCACCTGAATTTGTGTGTGTAAAGGAATAGAAAAGTTTCACCGCATTTTCTGTTGCTCAAAACATTACCCTCATGTACAAATCTGGGACTGCACTTCCTGATCAAAACAAATGCTAGCTATAGACCTGATCTTGTAGTGGAACCTCACACCCATATGGACTCTTGCTCTTGTATATCTGTATGCAGGATTGGGACCTAAAAAGGATTTGTGTATACCCAATTGATATGAAAGGGATTTCTGCAAGAAATCATTAAACTTAAAGGGAGTCTGTAAGCCAATGGGTTAACTCTCTGTTCCATGCACCAAAGAACGCTCTCTAGCCCCAAGATTTCAATTCCTTTTTCTAACTGGGGGGTGGATAATTTTAAAGCCTCCAGAAGGTGCTTCACACACACTGGAAGGTTTATTTCCTCATGTTCAATATGTTGTACTGTTCTTTGTACAGTGTGTTCACAAGAATAAAAAAAATTTAACCTGCAAAATAACAGGTTTTTAGAGGAGATTAGTAACTGTCATTTTCCTGTGGAACAAAACAGAATGGATTTACATTGGGACAATTTAGATTTAACAATTAGGAAACATTTTCTAATAATTAGAATTACTAAGCAATGGAATATGACAGGTTTCAGAGGAACAGCCGTGTTAGTCTGTATTTGCAAAAAGAAAAGGAGGACTTGTGGCACCTTAGAGACTAACCAATTTATTTGAGCATGAGCTTTCGTGAGCTACAGCTCACTACATCTGATGAAGTGAGCTGTAGCTCACGAAAGCTCATGCTCAAATAAATTGGTTAGTCTCTAAGGTGCCACAAGTACTCCTTTTCTTTAAGCAATGGAATAAGTTGTCAAGGAAGGTTGGTAAATCACATTTACTGCAGCCTTTAAAACTGTTGTTCATTTATCATAGATGATTTAGAGATGTTGGAATCAATCTTGCCACGATGCAGAGAAAAGGTCCAAATGATCCATAAGAGATCACTTTCCGTGCAAATGCGTTTCTGTCATCTGTGTTTTTTCTCAATTTATTTGAAATCCTTTTTGTTTTTACATTTTTGTCTTCAACTTTTATTTGTATTGCTGAAAATTCTTCTTAGTTAATTGATCCAGGGAAGGTACTTTCTGTTTTTGAAAAAGTACCAACCCAATAATGCACCTAAATTGGTCCTTGTGGCAAGGGAGTGTTACCCTCAAAACATACTTCATTTAACTTGAATAATTACCAAGACCATACAATGGCAATACACTTCTTCCACAGTCTCTTAGCTGGTTTGGATTAAGATAAGCATACTGTGCCTGACAGGTTGCTATTAAAATGTTTTTGCCTTACCTTTACGGAGAAAAGTCTTTGAAAAGAGGTGTCTATTTTTAAAGTTCATGCTACCTAAGTACTATCTAAGGAGGTTTGTACTGCTGCCCATCACCATAGTATCTGAGCACAGTAAGGCATATAACATTTTAAATTCATGCTGAAATATTTTCCAGCATGACTCTGACCTTCCCCAAAACAAATTCAGTTACCATGTTAACTTTTGCTTTATAAACTTAATTTGCTATCAAATATTCAAATAGGAAGATGAGATGGTGACAATATGGTATAAGCCTTACAGTTAGTAGTCATTGGAAAGCAGACATATAGACATCATATGGCTGTTCAACTGGGAAAATGGTTAATTACCAGAAAAAAAATAACAATACGAGACTTCTTGTGGTGACAAATATAACAGAGGGGATTATTAGCACTGATGTTCCTGCTTTCTGTCTGCTTCATGGTTGGTGGAAGAAGGTGAATTCTCAACCTATGCTTACTGTTTCTACAGCTGTTTCTCAGTCTCCTGCTGTTTTTTTTTCTCATCTCCCAATTCTTTTTATGATGGTGCAAGATTAATTATCTAACGGTATATGATCCCATGTGCATATGGAGCACCAGAGTGATACCTAGCAGAGCATGCTTTCTTCTCTCTGCTTCTGTTTTCTGCACCATTTATTTTTATTTTCTCTTTCAAAACTGTATTGACCAGAGTTGTCTGCTGTGCTTATTGTCTGCATGTTACTGTCCTTGGTAAGGTATAGCTCCAGCTATTATAAACATATGTAGTGACTAAAATCTATAAAAAATATTACATCATTGACTTATATCACCTTATAGAAATTAGATGTGTGAACTGTACAATTAAAAATCCTTTCATAACATACTGTGGTATTGTGGGAAATAATAAAGCAATTACCATAACAAACATCCCTGCCATCAGTGAGTGAGAGAGAGAGCATTAAGTCCCCAGTTCCGGAAAGCACATACTGAAGTAAACTTGAAGTAAAACCTAAAGCATTTGCTTATGTGCTTTCCTAAATAAAGGCCTAAGTATGCTCCTTTTGGGCAACGGAGGAATTTACTATACATTTTATTTTTTTATATTAGCCCCTGTCTTCTATGCCAGAAAGTTCACAGACCTTAAAAAAACAGAGGAACTACAGTAGTGAGAGTAGCTGTGACAGCAGCAGCAACACATCAGAATGGGAGGAGGAAACTGAAATGGAAGATCACAATGAGAAAAAAGAGATGAAAGAGTCATATGAGCTTGAAGAAAACAAGTATAAATTATTAGAGCGATCCAGTAAGTGAATGATCATAATTTTGTTTAAATCTAATGTGCACAAAAAATTATATATGATACTTCTGTGCTGCAGAACTTAACAGTGACAAAGTTTTTATTCCTGAAAATTGACTGACTGTACCTTGACACTAGATCACCTGGAGTCACAAATTAGCTTGTTTGATTCTTCTTCTTTAAAACCCAGTTCCAGCTTGATAGAAGAGCTGTATCAAAATAACCTACGCAGGGCTTGCTGCCAGGTTACTACTTATTAAAGAAAAGGATGAACATTAGCTACCATTGGGTGTGTTGTGTATGCTTCTCTTTGTTTTCATTACTTCTGGCAAAGTTGCCAATCAAATTTATTCTTTGTTGTTGTTTTTAATTTCCGTTGAACATGATTTTGTTGGGAAATTAAAAAAACGATCTAGGGAAGTGCAGAAGGTAAGATTTACAGATGGGTCACTCTCCAGGTAAATAAGTGGAACAATAACTAAACAGTGTAAGATTGAATATTAAAGTGCTGACATGGTTTGTACAATATATTATTTGTGTTTTTGTAGTTTGCAGTTTAGGAGTATTGCATTGAAGTTGTCATCATATAGCTATGTAGTTATGTTTGCATATGGTACTGCTGCCAAAAATTGTTTTGTAACAGAATCTTATTTTTATTATGGGCTGCAGAAGGCCTAAAATGTAGAGGATCAGTGTAGTTCTGCTGTCCAGAAAAGCCAAAGTCCCTACTCCCTTCCCCCCTAATTCTCTGCCCACATAGAGGAAGTCCACATTCCATCTTACTGAACCACAAGATGCACACACCTTCGACAAATTTATTTGTACATGGGAGAGGATTTGAGCCTAACTGAGGAAGGCTGATTTGGGAACAGGAATGGGTACTTTTATGGGTTGCATAAAGCATTTATTACTGGAGAACCTTATGATTTCCAATAGACCTATTCTCTAGTCAGTAATGACAGAGGAACGTAGAGTAAATGGATGGAAAGTAATTATATCCTGCATTGTCTTTGTCTTCAGGCAGATTACACTGGAAACCTTTAATTAAAAATATAAAAACTCCATCATATTCACCCTCCACATCATCCACAGGTCCTATAAGGCGTTCTGTAAGCTGTCCCCGTTCAATATCAGTCTTCGCTATACAGTCACAAGCAGCTGAGCAACGTCCCTTTTCAGCCAAACCTGCAGTGCAAATGCCACGTCCGTCGTCAATGAATAGGTCCCATTCTTTAACTCGTAATTCATCTTCAGTTGGAATGTGTAATACTGCTAGTCTGGGCACAGTACACTCTTCAGGGGTAAGTTGTTAAAAACATCACCCTGTGTTTTATTTATCTAAAACATGTATTGCAGTGTTGCTTTGTGTATTACTGCTTCAATAAGATTTTGAATTTCTTTCAACACAGTACCGCTGTCATCTTGGTGTATAATAGTAGTTTTCCTTCTACATTACTTGTTTTCTTGATACAATGTCAGAGATCCTGAGGTACTGAAATAGCTTATGTTTTAATAGAATCTCAGGAGTATTGGACTGCTACACCTTTATGCTCCTTAAAATTAGCTCTTGCAGTGATTCTTTCATGTTTCCAGTGCATCCATTAGATTGCAGCCCTGCAAACACCACAACTTATGGGAAAGGACTTCTTAGTCTGTGCCCTTGTGACTGAGAATCTTGAGTTTCAAACACCCTTCCTGCATCATGTCTAAAAGATGGAAGGTTTTTCTCTTCTCCAGGACAGTCTGTGTGAATGATTTGGGAATTATTGATTTCCCAAACAATATAAAGGCTTATCTGCCTAAGGATTTTTACACTGGCAGAACTATGCTGATGTTTCAACATCAATATAAATCCTCCGTATAGATATGTTGCATTAGAGTAAAGCAGGGCTTGCATTAGTAAGACTTAGGCTATATCTTCCCTGCAACAAGAGGTGTGCGTATACATTGAGAAACCTATTTTGGTGTAGAAACCTAGTTGACAAGGTAAAGCTAGTTTTGAACTCGATGTAGCTAGCTGAGGTAAAATCTATACCATCCACTCCTGGGATTTAGCTCATCCAGCTATATAAAGTTAAAAATTACAGGATCTTGTCTCCGTTAGGATTTTACATTGAGATAACTAATTTCAATTAGCTGTCTCAGAGTAAAAACACACATTTTTCCCCCAAATGAAGACAAAGCTTTTCTCCCATTTTGAAATGCATCCCTAAGGTAGACAAGCCTTAAAGCCCAAGTGGCCTAATTTAAAACAAGATGTATTTAAGAATAAACGGAAGATCAGATTTAAAAAGTTTTCACCACATATCTCTAGTTTTACATGTGACAGGAATTAAGATAGGTAGGTTTATTGTTGTGGTTAGCTGCAGTGTAGTAACTGCCTTACAGTTCTAGAGTTGGATTTCTCCCCTCTCTGTCCAGCCTATCTGAGATCATCCTCTTTGGTTTCCCCTTTCGTAGTTCCGTTATCCTTTACAGGTTTCTGTGATGTTCCTCATGCCCCACTTATGCCAAAGTGGTGTTCCCTGGGATCTGTCCCAAAATTAATTCAGGAATATGTTAAGTGCTGTAGCTAAACTATTTCAATTCCTGTTTTCCAGTCCCCTTTATATCTTATCACCCTCAAATAATCCTTTGGAGATAGGTCAATTAAAATGGGCACTTTCAGTCCACATATGCAATCCCTCTCCCCATCAGAGGAATGTCTGTTGTGAGAAATTATTTTGGGATGCTTATTAACCTTTCTAACTTTTACTCACCCTAACCAAAATTTTTAATGTGGCAAAAAGCTCATTGTCTGCTGCCTCTGAGGCTCTGTCTTGAAGATGAAAAAAGGTTCTTTTTTAAACTGAGTTAGTTGATGTGATGTAAAACATCCCTGACCATCTTTTGTACATACAGTTTAACAACTTTAAATTCCGCTAACAGGATTATAAAGATATTAACCTGTGTCTACAGACAGTGTTAAGGATGTTTCCCTTCACATTAGCTAACTCAAGGTTAAAAAAGCTCCTTTTTATCATGAAGACATACCCTGAGAATTTATTGATACAGAGCTAGTATGGACTTCTCTCTCCAAATTAATTCTGATCTATATCAAATACAAATTACTGAGACATTAAAATAAGTCTGTCACAGTGTGCCACTGAAAATGATCTACTCACTTAAATAAACATGAGTAAGAAACCAGATTTACTTTTTCATTGAGAAAGCTTCAACTACTGGCAGAGATCTTGTATTACAGAATATCCTTGCTTCTGTGACAAAACCGGGGTCGTATTCCTTAAAATAATGCAAATAAAGTTACTTATAGAATAGCAGTGGGAAAGATTTAATGATAACTTTATGGACTGAGTTCCATGCACAGTACTGTATGATTGTTTTTGCAACCAAGCATAATATACTGTATATTGCTGATAGAGTAAAAATTAAAATGGATAATCCATAATTTTTTAGCATGCTCAAAATAAATTATTTGGAAAGTGTATGTTTATCAGCCCTTCGAGTAGTGAGAAGAAAGTATGTTTTTAGTGTCTTGTATTACCATTAATTAGATAAAGATATGGAACCTAAATATGGAAAAACAACCTATACTTGAGCTACAAACTCAGAATTATAAATAGAAATAAACGAGGCATTAGATGCCTCTTTATTTCAGAGCCAAATTATTATATATTATATGGCAACATTATTTTGTTAAGATTTAAAGTAGCTATCACTTAATTCGGCCAAAACAAGCCCTTAAGAGACTAAGGGCTGTACTTCTCTCAAAATCCACAGATGTTAGAAAGGCTGTAAATGCTAAGTTAATGTTCAACTTTTAACAAATATAAAATCAAGCCCCATCCCAAGCCTCCAGACATTCTGAATTATGCAAAAGTGGAGTTATAATCTAATCTAATCTATCTATCATCACAAACAACCTTAATTCTGCCCCCATAGCACCATCCTGAGGGAACTAGAACATCTTAGACAATCTTAACCATCTGTCACACAGGCTCATCTCAATATTGATCAAAAACATTCATAACTTGAGTTTGAAATTCTGGCCCCATGAAGTCAATGGCAACACTTTTATTGACAAGGATAAGTGCAGGGTCCTGCACTTAGGATGGAAGAATCCAATGCACCGCTACAGACTAGGGACCAAATGGCTAGGCAGCAGTTCTGCGGAAAAGGACCTAGGGGTGACAGTGGACGAGAAGCTGGATATGAGTCAACAGTGTGCCCTTGTTGCCAAGAAGGCCAATGGCATTTTGGTATGTATAAGTAGGGGCATAGCGAGCAGATCGAGGGACGTCATCGGTCCCCTCTATTCGACATTGGTGAGGCCTCATCTGGAGTACTGTGTCCAGTTTTGGGCCCCACACTACAAGAAGGATGTGGATAAATTGGAGAGAGTGCAGTGAAGGGCAACAAAAGTGATTAGGGGTCTGGAACACATGACTTATGAGGAGAGGCTGAGGGAACTGGGATTGTTTAGTCTGCAGAAGAGAAGAATGAGGGGGGATTTGATAGCTGCTTTCAAATACCTGAGAGGTGGTTCCAAAGAGGATGGTTCTAGACTATTCTCAGTGGTAGAAGATGACAGGACAAGGAGTAATGGTCTCAAGTTGCAGTGGGGGAGGTTTAGGTTGGATATTAGGAAAAACTTTTTCACTAGGAGGGTGGTGAAACACTGGAATGCGTTACCTAGGGAGGTGGTAGAATCTCCTTCCTTAGAAGTTTTTAAGGTCAGGCTTGACAAAGCCCTGGCTGGGATGATTTAGTTGGGGATTGGTCCTGCTTTGAGCAGGGGGTTGGACTAGATGACCTCTTGAGGTCCCTTCCAACCCTGATATTCTATGATTCTGTGACATTAGCAGGATTTCACCCTTTCGTTTACTGAACCTGTGCATGAAGTTTGGTATGATTTCATATGATTGGCAACTTGTGCTAAATTGAGATGCAGGACTGGAAAGCAATGGATGTCTCAGCTCACGTTGGAGGTGCAGTGGTAGAGTTCTGTGAGTTGTTTGTTAGTGGCTGCATAGAGAATCCTCTTTGCTCATAAAATAGTCTTTAAATTTAAGTTTGTGTTTCAACTGCATATTTTAAATGGGGTATATCATAAATCTATAGCAGATTTTTCTCATCTGTCTGAAACAAATTTACCTTTAGACTTCACTTCTCTTGCAGTGTTTTACAAGTTCTAGTCAATACTTATATGTTAATGTACACATACAGTGTATGTATTATGTACATATACTGTTTTTACATTATTTTTAAAAAATCTATTTATTTTCCTCTGTTTGGGAATAAATGTTTTTTTACCATGGAAATATCTTTCACATAAAAGATACACATGAAATCACTAATTCTTTACTAAATCAAATCCATATCCATTTTTGAATGAGTCTTTGCTTCAATAGAGAACAAAAGAGCAAGAAGAGGCATTGACAAGAGAGACACTGTTCATTTTCAATGATATGAGGATCAAGTTCCCAGGAAAAACAGATGAAGAGGCAGAATTAATCATAGAAAATGTAAGTATCTATCAATGAGAGAGGTGCATCACAGGACACTTATTGTTTTATATTCAGTCCCTATGAACTTGGGAAAATAAAAAGTGCATCTAATGATTCATGAGCTCCTATGGCCTTCAGCTCATGGAACTCATAAATCAAAGGATTCCAAAAGCTCAGATTTCTACATTCTACCTGACCTTAAAAGAACAACACTGAAATCATTCTTAGGACTTTCTGAAATGTGACAAACATTTATAATTAGGAAGATTAAGTAACTTAAGTTTATAATTGTGGAGGTTTGTCCTGTTAAAGTTCAAACTTTTAAGTAAGCAAAGAAGAATGTTACAATTAATTAATAGTTATGTTTCACAGAATGTGACTATGGATTATGACATGTTTATCACTACCCCTGAATAGGCATGCTAACGAACTCAGAAAGGTATGCAATAAGGTGAAGTAGAATCCTGAGTACCAGTTCCAGGAATACCATTTGCATTCTTGCTGGCTCCTTCAGTTTGCCAGCTTGGCTTTTCCTTTTATCTAACATTCTTCTGAGCCTTAGTGGTTGGCGTGAAACAAAGAAGGATATGAAAGGAGGTGAAAGAATAAGAGATGAATATTGTGCTTGATGCTAAACAGTAAAGGGGAATCTTAAAAGAAAATAATACCAAATATGAAGAGATGCTGGGAGAGACAAAGTGCAGATGGGAAAAACATTGAAAATGCTGAAGAACAAAGAAATAAACATCAGTTTAAGAAAGGAAAAAAGTAAATAGCGACGTTGTGTTACGCTCTTTCTCTGGCAGAGGTGTAACATACGCATGTTAACATGTCGCAGGTTAAACCAACTGTATCCTGGCTCAGTCAGGGGTCCACTTGCAGGGGAACTGAGCAGCTTTCACTGTTATTGGTAGGGGCTGCCCAGGCTGTTTTCTTTGTTATGATGAAGATGTATGCAAAGCTCTTCCTGACTCCAGACACTATCCATGTGGAAATGTCCACTGCCTTCTGGGCCATGCAAATCCTGAACGGCCATTGATACTGGCTTCATATAGGCCACGTCTATGCTATCCACCGGATCAGTGGGTAGTGATCGATCTATTGGGGATCGATTTATCTTGTCTAGTATAGACGCGATAAATCGATCCCTGATCGCTCTGCTGTCGACTCCGGAACTCCTCCACTGCAAGAGGCGGAAGCGGAGTCGACGGGGGAGCAGTGGCCGTCGATCCCGTGCCGCGAGGATGCGAACTAAGTGGTTCTAAGTCGATCTAAACTAGTCTTGTAGCTGAAGTTGCGTATCTTAGATCGATCCCCACCCCCAGTGTAGACCAGGCCATAGTAATCCAGCCTCTCTGAGAGGGCAAAGATACCCCACAAATGTGCATACCAGAGAGAGATTTCTGAAACAATTTTTTTTTAAACTTTTTTTTGGTGGGAAATTTCAAAATTTCCAGTTTTCCTGCTGAAAACAAAAACTTTTTCAAAATTTCTGAATTTCAAACAGAATGGAAATTCTGAGTTTGAACCAGCTCTACTGACTATAGCTCTAGGACTTAATTCCTGTGTGTGACCCAGAAGCACAGGCATGAGACAATCCTTGGTCAGCCTATGGGTAGGGTCCTACCAAATTCACGGCCATGAAAAACATGTCACGGACCGTGAAATCTGGCCTCCCCCCGTGAAATCTAGTCTTTTGTGTGTTTTTACCCTGTATTATACAGATTTCATGGGGAGACCAATGTTTCTCAAACTGCGGATCCTGACCCAAAAGGGAGTTGCAAGGTTATTTGGGGTGGGTGGGAGGGTTGTGTTATTGCCAACCTTACTTCTGCACTGCCTTCAGAGCTGGGCTGCCAGAGAGCAGCAGCTGATGGCTGGGTGCCCAATTCTGAAGGCAGCACCCCACCAGCAGCAACGCAGAAGTCAGGGTGGCAATACCACACCATGCCACCCTGACTTCTGCACTGCTGCCTTCAGAGCTGGGCAGCCAGAGAGTGGTGGCCGCTGACGGAGGGCCCAGCTCTGCAGGCAGCAGTGCAGAAGTCAGGGTGGCAATACCATACCATGCCAGCGTTACTTCTGTGCTGCTGCTGGCGGCGACACTGCCTTCAGAGCTGGGATCCCAGCCAGCAGTCGCCGCCACGCTCCAGCTGCCCAGCTCTGAAGGCACTGCTGCCACCAGCAGCAGTCCAGAAGTAAGCAGTAGCAGTACCGCAACCCCCCCTACAGTAACCTTGCGACCCTGCCACAACTTCTTTTTGGGCCAGGATCCCTACAACTACAACACTGTGAAATTTCAGATTTAAATAGGTGAAATCATGAAATTTACTATTTAAAAAATGCTATGACCATAAAATTGACCAAAATGGACCATGAATTTGGTAGGGCTCTATCTACGGGCCATCTGAAAAACCAAATTCCCTGGTATGTGTGGGGCCTGGCCTAATTCTTGATCACTGAAGAGGAGTGCAAGGCCTGTTACGCCAATTGCTCCCTTTATAGTCTAATTTGAGAGCTCCCTTTGTTGTTTGTGGTGTGTGTGAGTAAGAATGCAAATATTCAGCTTAATAGGCTCCTCTTTTTTTCCTCCTTGGATAAGCTGTGGAATACAGCTGTGAGCCTGAGACTTTTTGAGCCATACGGTTCCTTTAAAACACCGTCACTGACTGTACAGCATAGCTAGTGAAGCACCTGCCTTTCACTTTAAGTGAATCTCTATAACATGGTTGCCATGAGCCTGGTGTCAAATAGGCTGGCCAGAATCTCTGGCTTTGCACCTGGGAAATTGATTGACTTGGGTGATGATACTGGGAAAATTTTTCAAAAGCACTTCAGTGATTTCGGAGCCTGAGTCCTATTGAAAGTCAATGGGACTTAGGCTCCCAAGTGACTTAGATGCTTTTGAAAATGGGTCTCAGGCTCCTATGTTTTTGAAAATTTTACCTATAATGCCTAAACCAGCTTTGAGCCACACTGGCTTTCAGTTGTTCCCAAAGCCTTGTCCAGCGGTCAGTGATTACCAAGGTAAAGGAGTGCCACGTAACTGCCTCCATTCCCCTGGGAGCACCCTTATAATGCGGGTTCAGAAGAGGGTGACATAAGGGCTGCAATAGTGGCTCTGCATCACTGGATCCTCTGGTAGCCAAATCCACCAGCTTTGGGTCTGTTCTAGCTGACCACAGAATCTGGCCCTTCAAAGGAAGTTTTGCCTGGATAGGAACTGAGGCATTTGAATGAACTCATAGGTTTCTCCCCCTAGGCTATTCGTTTTCTAGACTTTGAACTAAAGTAAAATGCTTCAATATTTTTTTCAAAATGTACTCCATCTTGTGGCATGTCCTGATATAACATTAAGCATGACAATATGCTTCCTGATTACAAAGTCCCCTGTAAAGCCACTTAGCGAACTTCTATTGGAAAATAAGAATCTCGGGGTTGGAACAGGTCAGATCACAAAGTGATGGTGTGTTAGATGACTTTGAGGCAAAATTGTTAATAGATATTGATCTGGAATACAGGCAAAGGAGCAGAATAGCAAAAAATTAAAGAGATATGTTAATAGTTCATTAATATTTAGATGTAACCAAGGAAAAATAAAAATACATTTTGTATGATTATTAGGAAGAGTATTTTAAAGTTACCTTTAATGACCTGTATGAAGCACAAAACTTCATATTTACTCAAATAAACAATGATTATATAATATTGAACTCTGTGCCCATCCCAGTGCTTTTGCTTGCAGTGCTAGAATGGCATGATCAGGTAGAACAGAGAATTAATTATTTTTTGCACAAAATGCTGGGATTGTTTTTAAACAATTAAGTATTTTACCAATGTAATATTGTGGCTGGAAATGTCAGATTCCACTCTTTATAGATGTTTGTTTTTATCTTTTGTTTTTCAACTAATTCAGATTATGGATAATTGGAAATACCATAAGACAAATGTGGCTTCATATTGGCTGATAAAACTGGACTCTGTAAAGCAACGAAAGGTGAGTGATGCACACGTCAACCTTTGAAAATACTATTAAGTAGTAAACATGCATTTAGGAGCCTACATATGGATTGAGGTGCCTAATTTTGGGTACCCATTTTTGAGTATCTTAGTGTAGAATTGTATGCATAGTGCCAGGTGTTATTTGGAGTATACCTTGGACAGCTCATGTGTGGTTGCAAGTCAACATGTGGGGGAGAGAGAGGTCTTGCAACTGGAGGGTCAATAATGTGAGCTTGTGGAAAAAATGACTGTTAGAACAGTAAACAGTGGAGAATTATCACTTCTAGTACAAAGACGCGTGTGCAGCAAACTCCTTCTCCCACCCACCAAAAGAAAAGAAGTAAATATAGCTATCAGGTGTCTGAGTTGTCTGAGTCTGAATTTGTCCCTTTGAGTGTAGTATCTTAGCAGATGGCTTGTTAATGACATGGCAGTGAATTGGAGGTAGAGCTACAAAGATTGTAAGCTCAATTGAAGATTACAACATTGTTAACAAAGTGCATGGTAGTTATTCCTCTTCTTTTGCCAAATAGTTTATTCCCACGAAAGATTAGTATTGCTTGTCATGCTTTCTCCAGTTCACAGAAGTAGTCAGTGCTGCTATTGTTTATAGTGTGCTAATGGCTTCATTCTTAATCTCCATTTTTAAAAAATGAACATATTTTAGTCAGTCTCGGCTTTGTAATCCAGTGTCCCTTTTCCTTAAAATAGCTGAAATTTGATTTGGGAATAGGTGAGATGGTGTCAATATATCACTGGACTGGGAGTCAGGAGATTTGGATTCTCTTTCTGCCCTCGAAAAGAACTTGCTGTCTGACTTTGGGCAAGTCACTTAACCTGCTATGTGCCTCAGTTTCCCAATCTATTTTTTTTAAAAAGAAAACAGTGGAAAGCACTTTGCGTAAAATGCTTAATATATAATATGTATTGTTGTTAGGAAGCGTGAAACATCATTATAAAGGAACAGGAAAAATATGTTGTAACCCTGTTTCAAATTGCCCCTACAAAATCTGCAGTCTCATGTTCAATTGTTTAAATCTCTGTAGTTCTGAATACTGCATTAAACTACCTGCTCTGTGTTTGGAACTGGGTACAGACAAGCTGCTATAAAGAAAACTTGTCCGTTGTGATGTGATGTAATTGACCATTTGACCTCAAGTTCATACGTTAGATGGAAGATTTATGCATACAGTTTTATAAAACTGGTATAGCTGTATAGAGACACAGACATGATGAGAACTTGATGATGCAGGTTAGCTGTGAACTTAATTACAGGTCTTTTGGAATTATATAAAGTGGCAGCATAAATCCACACTTCTGCAGAGATTTTTTTAAAAAGCATAGAGTGAATGTATTGTAGTAGTAGCAGTCATTGATTGAGACTGAATTATTTTATTATCTGACAGCCACTGATCCCTCTGCTGAGTGCCCTTTGCCAATGATGATCTCTTACATGTTTGTAATGCACTGGGGAGGGTCGTTACCCCAAGATCCAGTGCATAGACCTGTTCCATCCTTCGCATTAGGGGAGCTTGGCTGCCTCACCAGCACTCTTCTCCATCTTTCACCAAACCTGCATAGGCCTCTCTGCTGGTGTGCGGATCTACACAGTTGGAGTGGTGGGTTATAGGAAGAGCAGGAAGATTTGTCATGACCCACAGGTCTCAAACCTGGGCCTGCCAGATTTATGGGAGCAGCCACGCTCCAACCCTCCACCTTGCAGCCTGCTCGTAATAGCTTACCTGAGACTTACAAAGCCCAGCCCCTGCGTGAGGCTCCACCCATGAGGTCCAGTTTGTGGAGTCCCAGACTGGCTGATTGGTCTGCTGGCCATATGTAAGCCAGCAGCAGGAACACGAAGCTGTCCAAACAACTGGCTCCACCCTGTTCTGAACTGTGGGGCTTGTGCTTCCTGCACCTGCTTAGGGTTGCTAGTCATCCAGTTTTCGACTGGAACACCTGGTCAAAAAGGGACACTGGTGTCTCCGATCAGCACCGCTGACTGGGCCATTAAGAGTCCGTTTAGCAGCACAGCAGGGATAAGTCTAAGGGACACTGCCCGGCTCCATGCAGCTCCCAGGCTCCCATGTCCTGCCTCTGGCTCCTAGGTGCAAAGGTGGCCAGGGGGCTCTGCATGCTGCCCCCAGCTCCGCAGCTCCCATTGGCTGTGGTTTCTGGACAATGGGAGCTGCGGGGGCAGCGCCTGCAGACGGGGCAGTGCATGGAGGTCCCTGGCCCCTCCCCCTAGGAGCCGGACATGCCAGCCACTTCTGGGAACCGCCTGAGGTAAGTGCCGCCCGAAGCCTGCACCCCCTCCCGCACCCCAACCCTGTGTCCCAGCCCTGTCCCGCACTCAAAGTCCCTCCCAGAGACTGCACCCTCTCCCACACTCTGAACCCCTTGACCCCAGCCCAGAGCCCCCTCCTGCATCCCAAACCCACTCATTCCCAGCCCCGTACCGGAGCTCGCACCTCCAGCCAGAGCCCTCACTCCTCCTTGCATCCCAATCCCCAGCCCTGAGCCTCCTTCCGCACTATGAGCTCTTCATTTCTGGCCCCACCCCGGAGCCCTCACCCGCTCCCGCACTCCAACCCCCTCCCCCAACCCGGTGAAAGTGAGTGAGGGTGGGGGAGAGTGAGTGACGGGGGGGGGGGGGGAGATCGAGTGAGTGGGGTTAGGGCCTTGGAGAAGGGGTGGGGGTGGGACAGCAAGCGGGGCAAAGGTGTTTAGTTTTCCGCAATCAGAAAGTTGGCAACCCTAACCCTGCTCCTGCTTGATTTTTCTGGCATTCCAACCTGGCTTGACTCCTGACATCTGACTTGTGGTTCCTGACTTCATTTGTTTCCTGCCCGTGACTCCCTGATATCCTCACCTGCCCTGACTCTGGTTTCTGACTCATGGTTCTGATCTTCAGTTTGTCTCTTGCTTCTGATCTTCCTGTATCCCAACCCAGCTGACTCTTGACTCCTGTCTCATGAGTGCAGACTCTGGCTCTGACTACTAGGTCTGGCTGCGTATGACCTGGTCATGACAAGATTGCACATTATCCCCCCTTCAGTGGAGTGTACAAGAAAAAGATAATGGAACGCAGACCCCAAACTTTGCAATCTTCTCTGAAGTGGAGATCCCTTTGGGGGGAAAAGGTCAGGGTCCCCGGGGCAACTGTAGCTAGGAGGAGTCCTTGATAGCACAGATCTTTTGCACCTAGACTGCTAGGAGTAGGGGGAGGGGAAATCTGCTGGGGGTCAAAGCTGCAGCAGAGATGTGGGTCCCCTGTACGGAACCTTGGGGAGTCTCTTTCATCTATTCCAACAAGGTTATCCCTTTAGAAAAAGGGCAGGGGGGAGGAATCTCCATGAAGGGAAACACTGGCAGAGGGCACAACCCCCTCTTGTGGGCTGAAGGGGGTACTTAGACCTGATATGGCGTCACCACTCCAATATGTTAACAGGTATCTCAGATTGGGAATACTATTTCATTGACCACACAGTTTTCAATTGCCCCTGTTTTGTTTTTTGTTTTTTTTTCTTCTACTACAAGAGTTTCAGCCATCCTGTTTAATTTTAGCTGTGGCTTTATCACTCCAGCTGGTGTTTCCCCTGTAACCGGTGTTTTAAAAAGCATGCTAGTGAGTCCTGTGCTTTCTTTGACTGACGCTTGTGTGGCACCCAGGGCATGTACAGTATGTCAGGATAAGACACTAGGTCATTATTAATATAAAATGCAGTACTGAAAATGTGGATTTCTTCATGTGAAGACACCTTTGATGACTCAGGAGAATAATACTACCTGAAGCATTGATATGCTCTTGATATTTTGGCAGCAGGGGAAATGATTTGCTCTACGTTTTTGTACCTTTTTAACCTCAACCCCTTCAAGCAATCAGTTATTCTTAGGGATGTAGTTATACAAATGGCTTCCCTTGGAGATTGACATTGCAGCTAAGGATTTCCAAATGTGACATATGAGCACAAAGCTTTAGTGGAGCTGAGAGCAGAGTGTTTTATATTCTAGCAGGGTGGAGATGGGAGGGAAAAGCAGAAAAAGAATGAGTGTTAGAGAATATTTCTGAAAGTATAAGTATGTAGTTCAAAAGCAGCTCTGCAATTGTATGAAGTTTTAAAACAGAAACTTGGACTCTCTGGCACACGCTCTGGGGTTACTAGGAAATTCCAGAATACGGGAAGGAAATATCCGTCAAATATGCTAGGTTTTCAGTATGTCTATCCCCAACAGGCATATTTTCTTAATGATTTTTCCACCCTTGCTCTGGATAAATACAAACACCTGTATATAGCCATAATCTCTAACATCAAACAGTGATGCGTTGCAAGGACCGTTTAGCAACTGTATTACCTCAGCTTGCACAATTTCTACTGTATCCACTGCTGGCACACTCTCTGTCTTTGACTGCTCAGTTTATTCACCACCTTGTTCTGTTATATCTAGATTTGTTGTGTTAGTGCAAAAGAAAAGAAAGAAAAGAACATTCTCATTCTGCACAGGGAAATTAATTTGGTTGGAGCTAAATGGCTGTGCCCTTGTGCAATGCCTGAAAGTTCTTTAGTTCTTTTTTGGGTGCTGATCCGTAGAAGTATTCTCTGTGGGTCTACATGCACTCCATGTGCCCGAAACCAGAGGACTCTTCAATAGCAATGTTCATTGGTGTAGTAAAAAGACAACGCTCATCTTACCATGGATAAATTCTCTGCTTGGTCACTCCCTTGTCAGGTATCTTAGGGTTTGGATACCATCTTACTTGCTGAGCAGTAGGGGCAGCTCCTTTCAGAAAATCACTTTAACAGGCTTTATTCTATGTGATGCTGTAGGGATTTTGGGGTCTGAACTGCAATATGCTTTTTGGGGTGAAATTTGCCTCTGTTCAGCACAAAGCCTATATAAGTGGTGGGCCACCTGTGGCCCTTCAGGGTAATCTGATTGCGAGCTGTGAGACATTTTGCTGATGTTGACCATCCACAGGCACGCCCCCTCCTGCAGCTCCCAGTGGCCGTGGTTTGCCATTCCCAGCCAATGGGAGCTGCAGGAAGTGGCGGGCCGCAGGGACATGCTGACTGCCATTTCCCGCAGCTCCCATTGGCCAGGAACAGTGAACCACGGCTACTGGGAGCCGTGGGAGCCATGCCTGCAGACGGTCAACATCAGCAACATGTCTTGCAGTCCGCAATCAGATTACCCTGATGGGCCACATGAGGCCCGTGGGCAGCAGGTTGCCCACCACTGGCCTATCTGGTACTTAAATTACGTTCTCAGAAAACATGTTACAGGCAGTATTTAAATAGCCATGATTTAGCCCAGATTCTGTGCTGCAATTCTGCATCAATATATCCACACACAACTCCCATTTAATTCAAGTGTATCGGAGAGCAGAATTGGTCATGTTCTAATGAGGTACTCCCTACTCCATAGTCTACTGGTGTATGTATGCATGGAAGAAAAACCACATGAGTCATTGAGCTAAGATGTATACTAGACAGAGGACCAACTTATACACTGTGAGAAAATGTCCAGTTTTCTTTTCTCCCCACAAACAATATATGTCCATTACATTTTTAAAAAGCATTTCCTTTTCAAATGTCTCTTAATGCTGATTTTTCTTCAATGCTACGACATACTATTTCCTGCATAAAAGCCAGTCTTACTAAAATAGTGTCTTATGGTTTGATTCTGAGTAGGGCTAAGCACCTGCAACACACACTGAAGTCAGTGTAGACTGTGGGAGCTCAGCTCCTCTCAGGATCATTCTTTTATGAAGTAGATGGTATTCTAAACACGGTAACCCATTTTAAAAGTTTTCAGTATTGCTTAAGATGGTATTAATAATAAGGCTCCTTATCAGCTCTGTGTGTGTGTGTCTCTCCTTTTCTGTTTTTACTTGTTTTTAACAATCTTTTTTACTTGCTAATACTGGAAAAGGTGGGGGGAGAAATACTAATGCAATAAATATGAAAACTTGTTTTGTTTTTGCAAAATGGGTTTGATGGAAAATGATGCCATAGCAAAGTTAGTAAATGAAACAGCTTGTTAAAATTTAGAAGTGATGATGCTATATGATAATTCTCCGTTACCATTTTTTCTGTGTAATGAAAGGACAGATGTTTGATTTTGAGATTTTGTTATATATGCCTATTTTTTTAATGCTTTGATTTGCTTGAAATATTCTTTTCTAGGTTTTGGACATAGTGAGGACAAGTGTTCGTGCTGTTCTGCAACGTGTCTGGAGGGTTTCTGATGCTGAATGTTTACATTTGTACCGTATTTTTAACCGTTTGTTTAATCGCTTACTCTGGAGCCATGGCCAAGGCCTGTGGAACTGTTTCTGTAATTCAGGGTAGGCCTAATAAATTTATTATTGTAATCCTTCTAATAATTTCACAGCTGGCCTAGTTTAATGTTTACTTTCATTCAAGAAATTATTATAATAAATAGAACTGTTTTAAAAACCATTAATCAAAAACGTACCATGTAATTACCTATTAACATAGACCAAGCATTTCAATAATAGGCTAGTACAGTTAGGATCTTAGATCCATATGAAGGTATCTAAAGTAAATGATTTGATTTTTCAGGAATGCTGAGCATCCTGCAGCTCCCATTGATTTCTCTCATTGAGAGACCCTTCTGGCTCAGCACTTTTGAAAATCAGGCCAACTATTTAAGTGACTCTGACGGGGTCTCTGGGGTGCTATCTGGATTGTGGGACCACGGAGCCTCCAAAACCCGCCAACCTGGGTTTTCCCTCACTCTACAAAGCTATTGCACTTACACAGACATCCCCAGGCAGGGACACACCCAACTGAGTTACATGAATGCTTCTCCCACCCACTCATGAAGCTGCAGCCTTGCACCCCAGAACTGTACTCTGTGGCACTGGTCAGAAGCCTGGCCCGTGTCAGCTCCTGACCTAGTTGGCCACTCTGACAAAAGGGTAGTGGATGTGCAACAGCCCTTGATAACCTGAGTTGAGATTGCCTGGGCTCTTCAACCAAACAGGCTTTATATTAGGTAAAATATAAAACAGATTTATTAATTACAGAAAGATGGATTTTAAGTGATTATAAGTGGTAGGCATAAAGGTCAGATATAGTTACCTTAAGAAATAAAAATAGAAACATTCTAAATCCTAAACTTTTAATCTGAACAAGCATTGAATCAAATAGCTTTTCTCACCCTGACAGATGGTACAGGAGGTTACAGTTCCTCAATACATAGACTGGACCATTTTCTAGCCTGTGACCAAACTCCCCAGTTCAAATTCTGTGTCTTGCAGACATGCTTCCAGGTGTTGAGATGTGGGGGGAGAGAGGCCAAGTCATGATGTCACTTCCCCCCTTTTATACTTTCTTCCAGTTTGCTGGAAAGATCCTTGCTGTGAGGAGGGGATCAGGCAGTCGCCATTGATAAAAGCACTCCATTGCAAACATACCTTCTCTAAGGAATCTCTGGGATAGTGGATTCTGTTGTTGATGAGCCATTAATGCTGTCTGGCTATTGATAGCTACTATTTTGTTGTAACTGAAAGGCTGGTTGTGGGTGTTCCCAACCTCACAACATATTTCAGGAACAGAGCTAGCAATACTTCATAACTTCACATACAATGATAGCACATACAATCCAGTAGGATAGTCATGTTCAACAGATCAAGACTTTTAAAATACCTCCTCACAAGGTATACTTTGTACAAAACATATCATAATTATATCACCATGGTGAATATGAGGCTCCAGGGTGTCACTTTGAGGTACAGAGAGTCACAGTGACTTAATCTTAACTTTAGTTGGCCTCTGACAAAAATCCTGGCCTTATCTGTTTGATTCCTAGAATAAAGAAAAGGAGAGTCAAGTAAAGAGTCCTGCTGACATTTTATACCCCAAGTATTCAGCTTCTGTTGTGTGGTTTAGAAATACAGCAGAATTTCTGAGTTGGACTGTATTTGCTCTTCATTACATATCTGAAACAATTATGAGAATGTGAGCATGTGAAAAGTATGAAATTGTGACTCTGATAGGTAAAGAAATGTGTTTTTTGCTTGAAAATTAAGGATGGTTACTGGAAAAGATGCCATGTTTTTAAAATTAAATTAGCCCATTCCCCAGCCCCTGATGCTCATGCAGTTGAAGTCAAAGGACTATTCATGTGAGGAAAGGTCTGCAGGATCAGATCCTATGTATATAACAGAGCAAAATAGGTCAAAGATCTTTTACAGTTTTTTCCCCATAAGGAAGACTATATGTATGAATATGTACCATATATGCTCTCCAGATAAATTTCTTCGTAAGTATATAGCATGAGGTGACTAATGGGATGTTTTTGAGTAGCTTGCAAAAGAGGATTGAAAAAAGATATATTGAAAATGAGCTTCAACAAATATACACATGATGATGATGGGTTTCATATGTACAAAAAGAAATAACTCATTTGTCACTTGTAGGGAATGCTTGCACTACATTTACAAATGTAATAAACCTTACCTGTATTCAACACAATGACAAGAAAAGGGAGGTGGGAAAAAAATAGGATATTAAAAGCAACAGTCCGAGAGTGAGAGATCCTCTGCTGGCATAAATTGGCATAGCTCCATTGATTTCAATTGACTTTAATGGTTTGATGTCAATTTATACCAGCTGAGGATCTGACCCATAATATGATTGATTCTTCTATAAGTGCTTGCATATGTCCATTACACTGTATGGGTATGATCAAAATCTTAGCATTGTACCTAGTGGTACTTTTTTCCACTTCATTGTTTTAAAAATATTTTATTTCAGAATTTTCAATAATCCCTTAATTTTAGTGTTACAGTTAGCATCGCTTTACACAACATATATGTGAACCTCTTGCTTTTAATATTGAATTTTTTAATATTTAATATTGTTTTGGAAGCCTCAATTTGTAATGATTCTTATTTTCAGAAATCAAACATTTTTCTACAAAAATGTTTTTTGTTCAAAAGTTGATCAGCTCTCCTGTTCAACTGATTCAGGAATGCCGCTCTTGAGCCTGCTGAATAAATCAGTGAAGAGCAGGATCTTTGATATAGCAAAAGCTCCTTTCACGCAGAACAGTGCCTTTGTCAGGGAGCCCAGCTGGCTCAGTAGGGTTGTAAACTATCCAGGAGTCTCCTGAAATTAAAGATTATTTCATGTGATAAAATCTCCAGAAATTCTTCCAACCAAAGTTGGTAACCCTATGCCTCAGGAGTCAAGATGAACGCTGACAAAATTCCTGTTCCTTGTCAAAGGAGTTATTGCTTTGTCAAACATCTTTTTTAAAAAAACCTAAGAAACTAATATATACAAACACTGTGGGGTGTTGAGCTTGCCCTACATGCAATATACCTAATACAAAACCTACAAAGCAAGGAAATAGAAAGTTATGGCTGTCAGCAGTACATATCCTGTTTCTCCAGCCAGAGACATACTTTACCACTAGCCCAATCACCATACCCCCAAGAGAACATGCTGGAGCCCTAACTCTGCCCTAGAGGGTGTGTGCAATTTTACAGAAGTGAATAGTAGGGACACTGGGGGAGTGAAGTTTGGTGTGTTTGTGGTAGAGGTGGAATTTGGGGAAGATTATGCTGGTTTCCCTCCTAAGGCAGAGTTAAAGTTGTGGTGCATTCTCTGTGGTGTAGGGTGGCTGGGCTAGTGGTAAGGTATGTGTCTCTGCGGGAAGAATAGAGGATATTTATTGTTTTAACTCGTTATTCCCTTGCTGTTTAGGTTGTGTTATATTAGGTGTAGAATGACTAACAGATGCATAAAAAACACTTGTGTATTAATATATGGTATCTGTATGGCATAATCTAGATGTAGCTAATTAATGATAAATTTGCTTTAATCGCCTGCACAAAATCAAAAGGAGTACTCGAAAAGTGATCGTACCAGTTTGATTAAAAATCAAGGTTCAAATAAAGGCTCACACATGATTTAGAATATAGCATACTCCAGCATGGCCTTCCCTTGTTGTATTCCTGTATCCCCTTTCCACGGTGGTGTGCCATGCCAAAAGCAAATTAGATATACCCAAAATTACCTCAGATTTTACTTGTCACATTTCCTGTTCATGCACTGTTATAGCATCAGCCCTGAATTGTCACTAAGCCCTAACAGACATCCTATTTTATGACTCTTATTCAAAACCCCTATGTGGAGGATAAAATCCTGGCTCCATTGAAGTTTTTAGGGAAAAAACTACCATTGACATCAGTGAGCCCAAGACTTCATTCTGGATGCTTAGAACCTGGAAGAGGGATGCAAGGAACCCTCCCCCCACACCTCTCCCACACATATACTGATTTGTTTTTTTAATAAAACAAACACAAACCCAAGCTTGCCACCCATCTAAGCCATCATAGAGGGCTTTCATTTTTTTTTAAATAGGGAAAGGGGTTTCAAGTATGAATTTTGCCTTTGGACACCCACATAGTTCTCTGTATTCATATCTGAATATTGGACCTACAGTAAGTTGTGAATAAACACACATGCTGAGTTAGCCCTGTGCACAGGACTAATTCCTCCTTGCTGTGGTGAAACGCACCAGGTTAGACTAGCGTGGGTAGCCTTAAAATTTTGTGCACTGAAAAGCTGAAGGGACTAAACCTTTTTTGGAAATAAAAGGTTAATGGAAACAAAAGCACCTTGTGTATGGTTATTTCAGAGGGAAAAATTTACCAGACACAAACTGAAAGTTTTAATTATACTTCTCTGACTTGATAAAGAGCAGTCTCCCCTGCCCAGTTAGAGCAATGTGCTAATGTTCAAATGGTCTAGACGGAGAAACTCCCATCCCATGACTTTTTGAATAGTTCTGATAGAGAAATGAAATGCTTCCATTTATCTATTTTTTGGAAATGTGAAACAGAGCACAGTATTTTGAACATTTATATTCGACTGTCATATGTATCATTTGTTATTCTCTTCATGCTTAATATCATGGACTTCTGAATATGACTGACTAATGAAAGTATTAGCATGCTATATAATTACTATTCAGATAGTAGCTTGTTAAAAATAAATCAGTATTTTGTGCATCTCATGATGTAGAACACCATTTAAAATTGCATGGCAGTAAATCTTTACGTGCTAAACCTAAACAATGGTCCTATAAATGCTTTAGGGGACATACTGAATGAAAAATGGGTTGTGATCATTTTGAAATATGAAGATTAACTTCTTAATTTGTATTTTATATTCCCACCATCTGTCAGTATATGGGTTAAATAGCATAGGCCTTGCCTGTAAACAGGCAAGGTCACACTTTATTTCTCTTACTCCTCCACTGCTAAATCTGATGTGCAGTAGTAAAGCTTTTAGATTGCCATTTGTAACAGAAAACATGAGGTCATGTCTGTTTCCATGCCAACAGAAGTTCTTGGGAGACCATATTCAGTAAAAGGACAGAGGTGGTGACTCCTGAACAACTCCAGTGTTGTCAACGACTAGTACAACTTTGTAAACACTGCCTGCTAGTGGCTTACAAATATTCAGCAGATTCAAGAGGATCTGTTACTGGAATTAGCCCTGACTGGGATGATACAAGGTATATACTTTCATATTTCTAATTATGAGACATATTGGAATGTATGATCAGATTTTAAATTATATGTGTATACTTTCCTCTAGGCTAGTGGTCTCACCCTGCGGCCCATGAGCTGCTTGTGGCCCAACCAGCACACAGCTATGGCCCATGTGACATCTTCGGGGCCATACAAGTGTGTATATATATTGTGTGGATGGGGCCCACATAACATAGAGAGAGCTGTATATGCAGCCCACAATGGTAAACAGGTAGAGAACCACTGCTCTAGGCCTAGGAAAAAGCAACACGAACTAGTTCACTGTCTGCAACATAAAGGATGAGCATTTCCTTCCAGCCCTACTTCCTGTCATTATGATTTCTATAGTGTGGTAGGGAACGCAACAGAAATTATCCTTGCTGGGTTAAGAGGAGACTTACCATATTCCTTTTATTTGAAACTAACTTATTAAAAGTTGTTTGCTTAATGCCCAAATAGCCAGAGTAAGAAAGGCATTCTGTACTTAACTGAATTGAAACTTGCCTTTCTTCCTTTTCCTCAGATTCCTGAGAGTAATTGATTCCTGGTTTGCATTCCTAGGAGTGCCCTAACATGTATTACTCAGCTGGCTTCACAACCACTGTGGGATCCCACAAGAGCATAGCTCCAGGCCATGGTCGGGTAAGTGCCATCTGACTTACTGTGTTGTACAGTTTTGCAAAGTTTACTTCTAAAAACTGCAGACATAAGTTTTTCTTATTGTATTTCCAAAAGTGTATAAACATTTTGTTAAAACCTTGCAAAACAGCACAATATAGTGTAAAAAAAAAAAAAAAAATTGGCACTTACCTGACTCTCCATGCGCAGGGTCAGTTCTTCAGCAGAGTTATAATATTGTCAGCATGCTGACTTTTACTGAAACATCACTAGGAGTGGAGAGCCAGTGATCTGTGACGCAATGGTCCTGAATTGCAGAATTAAAGGTAAGTTTCAGATTTATGTTCTGAATGCTTCTCTTACCCTAGTAATTTGGATCATTCAGTACATAAACCTACAAATGGGTTGTTCATTTTAAAAGTCATGCAGTTCTGTGCAAGGGCAGTGTTTATTCCTTAAAATAGCAAATACATTTAGAATGTCCTATAGAAAATAAACGCAATATATATTATCAGTTAAACCTACTGTATGACTTAATTGCTTAAGCAATATGTCTTTAACTAGTTATTTGATATTAAACTTTCTGCTATTGTCATGTGAATGTTTCAGGGGCTCTAACATAATTTAATACCAGCTGGAAACAGAAGCTGATTGTTCACAGCAAAAGTAGAGGTAATTTAGCCACAAAATGAACCATATGCAATATTCATATACAAATGAGCTTATAATAGTAAAGTGGTAAAATAAAAAAAGATGAAACAAAGTAATTCTTACTTCCACCATTAATACATGGTCATTTTTTTCAATTAAAAACCAGCCATAACTGTTCAGACCAATCAAATCACTGTAGTGTATTGCCTAGCTAACAGGCCTACATTGGCCATTTTCTGTGACTCTGTTGAAGTCCAATGGAAGTGTAATCATGGATTTCAAATGTGAGCAGAATCAGGCTCTCTGTTTGTTTTAGATAAGTGCATAGCAGTTACAAAACAGTAACTTTTACTTCTATATCTGTAGTACCATAGTTGTCAGGGTAACTTTGATTAAAAGCTACAACCAGTCTGCATTTATCTCAAAAAACATTACATTTATATTCTGGCTACAACTAACCGTTATGTTCTGGCTAAAAAAGGGGCTTCCTATTTTCTTTACGGGAAAGAAACTTTTATATCAGCTGGGTTTGCTTGTATTTGTCCAGCCAGCCCTAATATGTACAAGGTAACAGTGACGTTATTTCCCTTGAGTAACCACTACACAGTTTCACGTTGCACCTGGGTTTGTATTTTTAAGCTATCAAGGAAATTATATTAAAGGATTTTCACTGATGATAATTTTGTTCACTATTATTGTGATATAGTATAAGTAAGACCCTGTAAACTGCAGCATATGGGCAGAGAGTGATTTAAAGCTATTTTTTTCATAACTAAAGTTTCATTTGTATAGCTCTGTTGGGCTTTCTTGAGAGGGAAACGATTTTCAGGCTACGTTTATGTGAACTTTTTTGGCAGCTTTGTCAGATGCATCTCCAGTTTCAATTGGCTATTTGTACATTTTTGGCACTTTACACATTACTGTACATCTAATTCCCAGTGATACTGTTCCTGATGGAAAACCAGTCATTATTTTAACTTTATTGCATAGGAAAAGCTCAAATTGTTAAACATATTTCCAAAATAATTTTCACTGTACAGTTCAGTGGTCCCAGAGCTCTTGTTATCAGATATTAGTGGGAATACCAAGGTAAATGATGAATTATGTTTTCTTCACAAAATAAAAATAAGAGTAAATGCTGTGAAAACACAGCCAGACTTCTTTTCCAGTCAGGATACTCAAATCTCGTAACACATGCTTTTTTAAAAAACAGCCTCTGACCTTTTGAATCCTAACAAAATTCACTTCTAAAAGAAACTTGAAGGAAAGTGGTCATCCCCAATTCCCCCTGCTGGTTAGATCCTCAGACAAGCATAAAGAAAAGGAGTACTTGTGGCACCTTAGAGACTAACCAATTTATTTGAGCATGAGCTTTCGTGAGCTACAGCGAAGTGAGCTGTAGCTCACGAAAGCTCATGCTCAAATAAATTGGTTAGTCTCTAAGGTGCCACAAGTACTCCTTTTCTTTTTGCGAATACAGACTAACACGGCTGTTACTCTGAAATCAGACAAGCATAGTAGATGTCACATCTCACACCTCATCAGCACTGCTCAGATGTTCTTGCTCCCAAATCTTGTGAGATACTGAGCACCTCTGCACAAAAGGTTTCAGAGTAACAGCCGTGTTAGTCTGTATTCGCAAAAAGAAAAGGAGTACTTGTGGCACCTTAGAGACTAACCAATTTATTTGAGCATGAGCTTTCGTGAGCTACATGCTCAAATAAATTGGTTAGTCTCTAAGGTGCCACAAGTACTCCTTTTCTTTCTGCACAAAAGGTGCTTGCCTCCCATAAGATCAGGCCCTTTGTTTGTAGCAAATTGATTAGCCTTTGGCAATAATGGCCTTCCTCAGGGCTTAAACAAACCAAACATTTACACTTCCTTATAGAGCAGATGTTTCCCATTAACAGTCATGACATTGCCCCTTTCCCTGTGATTAGTAGGATTAATCCTCGGAACTCTTTCAATGCACTCGCTCAGCATCAATCAATATGATTCCCTAGAATGCTGCTACACTTCTTAAAACAATACATTATATAATCTGTGGTGTATGTAATCTGTTCTAGCATTGCCCATCACTCATGAAATTTTGATTTAATGTGGATGTTTTGTATTGTTTTTTGTGCTCATCTAATGACTCCGGGCAATTAATTATAAGAACTGTTAATAAACAGATTTTAAAATTAAATATTAAGCAACAGATGATGAATGTTTGTAATGTTGTCTAAAACGTATCCTATAGCTAGTCTGATTTAAAAAAAAAAAAAGATAACTGAGTCACTGATTAATGAATGATGAATTAGTAGATTGCAGAAATCTGGGGTGTTTGCATTACTTGGATGGTGGTGGTGGCATGCCAATATTTAAAACAACTAGGGATAGTCCAATGATTAGAGAAGAAAACTGGGATTCAAAACTACATGTGTTTTTTTTTATTGCCTGGCTTTGCCACTGAATTTCTGTTTCACTTTTTACAGGTCAGTTAATCTGTGTCTCAGTTTTTAACCCATTTTTAATCTGGGAAAAATAATACTATTCTAATTGAGATCCTTAGGAAACAGATTAGAAATAGCTTTGCATAAGTGACTGTTTTCTCGTTTTTTTCCCTATAAAGGGCTGGCTATTGCAAGCATCTTTACCATTAAGAAATCAGTGGCAAAATGTATGACCCAAAGTAGGCTGCAGTTTTGCTATGGCTGTCTATAGGTTGTAATAAATAATATTTATTTATTAAACCTTTTCCTTTGTCTGAGACAAAGGCCTGCCACACGGTACTCTGTGTGAATGTACATAAAGTCTGACATACCAAGATTATAATGTGAGGCACATGCATGACTAATGCCTTTGAATGTTATCTTTGCAGTTAAATTCCACTTTTTTAAAATCATTTTTAGGTATTTACTGCCAGGACCTTCACAGTTAATCATGAAAACATCCTCCAACTTTATCTGCACTTCATCTGGAATGCCTCGCTCTAACATATTGTTTGCACCCAGGTATAGCCACTTGTGAAACAAAGAGAAGAGTGCCACGCTTGATAAATAATGGCATTCCATTTTTCCACTTTAAATTTGTGAGGGAGCTGAGTATAAGCACTGTTATATATTTGCTACAGTACATAAAATTTAGCTGAAATCCTACTGTAAAAGCATAACCTTTCTGGAAATGTAATAAACATTGTTAAGTTGTTTACACAAATATGTGAATGTCCAGATCTTGCTAAGTTTATAAGTAATTCCTTCCTACTAGAAATGTTATTTTTGCTGCAATATATAAAATTGAGTTAATCTTGAAGATCCTATTACAGTGTTTAATTCGGTACAATATCTTTTAACTTGAAATATATTTATTGTAAATCATACTGTTCATTCTCTCCTAGATAAGCCTGTTGTAGAACAGTAATGGTAATTAAATATAAGTTGTCTGATCATTTCTATAGCACATTTTAAAATATTGTAAAAGCAAGATCTAATATACAGACGTTTGTATTTCTCCTATGAAATTACAAGGTATGTGTAATATTGTTTTTCAGTAAGGACATAAAGTATCTTTTAGTCTAAATGAAGACAATCCAGAGGGTAAATATTCAAATATGCCAGTTCTGGCAAATAGCTTCTAGTTGGACCCTTGTAATAAAACAGAAGGCAACGGTTATTGTCAGATCTTCCTTCAACCTTCTTGTGTCTTGTGCCTTTCAGTTTCATTTGGGATCAAGTAGTAACCTACAACTCATAAAAGAGCCATGCATATGCAGACATTTTTCAGAATTACTGCAGTGCAACAGTAGCCTCTCTAAATCTTAAAATAGTATGATTTGGTTTGGTTTTCACTGTAGGGTGCATTATATATTGTAGAATGACAGGTTTCAGAGGAACAGCCGTGTTAGTAAAGTGAAGTGAGCTGTAGCTCACGAAAGCTCATGCTCAAATAAATTGGTTAGTCTCTAAGGTGCCACAAGTACTCCTTTTCATATTGTAGAATGTATACTCTAATGTATACTTACAGTATTTTCTAGACTTGCTGAAATCCTAACAAAATGGTTGAAGGTACAATTAATTAGATTTGTTACTCAAATTCAGCTTTGCAGACCTGGCTGAGTGACACAATAAGAACTTGATATGTTCATGAGCCAGATCCTGAAGGCAGAGGTGATTTGAAGTGTGATCTACAAAACATAATTTTAAGAGTCTCTCAATATCCACACTTGTCCCATTAATCCCTATACATCAGAGGTCCACAAACTGTGGGGCATGCTCCCCTAGGGTGGGGTACCAAGGAACATTTGGAGGGGGGTGTGGCGGGCTGGGTCAGCTCCCACAGGGGGCAGGGAGGAAGGGTCACTGAGCCCCATTGATAGCTTTGTTCCAGCCATGGCCCCAGCTCTGTACCTGATCCCGTCACAGCCTTGGTACTGCTCTGCATTTGGCTGGGGGCTTGGCTTCCAGCCCGCACCGTGGCCCTGCTCCCAATTCCACCCCAGCCTCGGACCCTGGCCATGGCTCCATCCCCAGGCCCAGACCCACCCCCAGCTGCAGCTCCAGCCTCAGACCCTTACCCTGTCAGCGTCTCCTTCCCCTAACCATGACCCCACTCCTGGCCATGGTTCCAGGGGGGTGCAGACAGAGGGAAGGGGGCACAATCCTCAAAAGTTTGGGGACTACTGCTGTACATGTACATCCTAATAAGTAATTTTTAAAAATGAATCCAGTTTGTAACCAATTAACTGCCTTGTTCCTGTTTGGTGTCAAATGCCTGTTCACTCACTAGTGAAAGTGGTCTTTACAAAAACATTTTTATAGTTATTTTCCAGAGACAATGTACTAAATAGGGTGGTAGCCTAATGGTCTTTCTACCAGAGCATTACATGCTTTTTCCTAGTCACTGACTAGGGAGATGAACATTTCTCTGGGATTGATTTTTGAAACCTTGGCCAGAGCCTACCAAATAGGGAATTTTGACATCTATGCTTTTGCCTATCCAAGTTCCATACCGGTAGGATGACCATTCATAATAGTATGACTGTTTCCTAGATTTTTTAAATGTATTATGCATTTACAATTTGACTCCGAGGCTGATTAGATACAGACAATCTACTAGTCTGACAGAATCTCTTCCTCTTCCATGGTAATGCTGGTTTGCTCACACAGCATGCTCCCATCAGTCCACTTGATGTATCGCTGTGGGCCATACAGTGGTGACAGCCGATAATGCAAATTACATAGGTTTTACAGGTAATCACAACAAAATCCGTAAATCCGTCCCTCCAGGGAGTGCTAATGTACAGTGGTCTCCACAGTATTCTGCTTTTGGCCATAGGGGAAATTTGGATCAGCGTCCAAAGGTGCTGAGCAAGGGGACTGGGCAGTCTCTCTGGCTAATTTTGCCAGCAGTAGAATTTTTAAATATAGGGCATTAAGTACAAATATGCAAGCTACGTAGAACTAGAGAAATCAAGGATATGTGTGGGATGTACACAAATGTATCAAGTGATTGGTTTGTTTTCAAAAATGATTTTAGCTGATATTTCATTGTGTTCTTATTTCTAATGAGCCATGCTGGAGTGGTATATAGTTATTAAATCAATATCTCAACAGAATACAATAATCCTAAATACTTTTAATCTCTGCCAAGTGTACGGGCTGTCTACTCTATAGTTAAAGAGGACTGTGTCAGGGACAGTTAGAATCAGGTTCTATATGGTAATATAAACCAATTCACCAGTCAGTGCATCAAAGGTCCCAACAGCAGCAAAATTTCAGTTCCTTTCTTCAAGGATAGGTTTATAAGTCAAAACCAAGACAGTCTAACTTAAACAAGTAAACCACATCCTGCTGGTTAGCCCATTTCAAAGTCCTTTTCCTTCACCCAGGGCCTCCTGCAGATCTCTCTGTAACTGGGCTGCTTGCTGTTCTTTTATCTGATGAGGAGGTAATCTGCAGGCTATCACCTGATTCCTGACCTCAAACCCGTCACCTGATAGGCAGCTAATTAATCATAGGTGGAGCTAAGCCTATCCCCCTTAAAGGGCCAGCCCAACCTGTGAGCAGGTCCACAACTATATTTCCAAATGGTATTAGAGTCTTAGACATGTTTTAACCAAAAGAGGGGGGATGTAGTTGTAATTGCACTATATGTACAACAAATGACTAAAATAAAACTAGTTGTATATAACTTATAATAAATTATCACAAAGAAAATGCCAAATGATATAAAAATAAGATTTTTGCATAGCTTTAGCATATGAATTCTATATATTTTAGATTAATATGATGTTTCTAAACCTGTAGGATAGACCTCCACTATAGCCCTTAGGGAGGCTTGAGAAGAGACCCACGGGAGGCAGGGAAAACTGTATTAGCCTGGATCTATTCTAACCGGCATTGCAACTCTGAAACGATAATGAACAGTAGCAGCCCAGATTCTCCTTCTTCTAAATAAAAGTACTCATTTGGCTCAGCCCACTGTGTAAGAGAGTTCACAGGATAAGATACACTAATTTCAAAAAATGAAACCTGCAGTTTATTTGTAGTAAGTCCTGGAGACAGCCACCTTGCGAAAACAATAAATCCCTTGTTGAGGGACAGACTAAGCCTTCTGCTTTAGTAACTTTACAATCTTGAAAAATTGTCAATATTTAGACAAATTATACATTTTTACAGTGTGTGGGGCAGCAAATGTAGGATTTTCCCATTCAGTGTTATAGCAGATGCTCAGTGAACCAGTGTCCTGCCATCCATTTGAAAACATAATTTATAACCATAGTCCCTTATCCGCCCTGCCAAAACCTAGCCCATTATGTGGATTTTGTGCATTGATAGGAGAGCAGACTTTTTAAAAGTCTGAAACTGTCTGCTTATTCTCTCTCTCTCTCTCCCCCTGTTCCTCCTCCCACTGACCCTTAGTTTACCAGAAAGCAGACACAATCCTCAGGTATCTGGACGTTTATAGCTGTCATATACCTGGGAGCTGACTCTGCACATGTGTTTAGCTCCCATTCTAGACCATCACAGTTACATGTGCTTCCGGCTTCTTTGGAGAATTGTTCCTAGAAATAGCTTCTAAATATTGAAACTAATTTAGAAACTGGTTTGCTGTCTCTTATACTGTGTGCTAGTGTAAAAATGACTATACTTTAAGGCAGGATTGACACTTCTAGGACCACACTGAGAAATACCAATTGCAAAAACTTAAGAAGACTTCACATTTCATTTGTGATGACAAGCAATTCTTACCTTATGAACATTTATGATGATACTTGCTCTTACCGCCTTTACTGGGAGAAAATTCCTATTGAAATCTGTAGGTGTTTTGTCTGTATGGACTAAAATTGGCTTCTAGGAGCGAGCAAAATGGGTGCCATTTTCCTTAATGGAAAAGCTAGTGGTGCAAATATGTTAATAGTTTGAGTGTTTTAAACAAAGCACTAGGCCCAGTAATTTCCCACCCTAAAAAAAGTGCAATATAAAACTGCTTTTGCAGTTCTTGGTAACAAGCTCAGGAGTCCAAATATAAAGGCAGAACAGCATAGAAGGCACTATACGTTAAGCATTACTTTTCCAAGGTAATGTAAGAAAAGAACCTAATAGCCCACTTGGTGGACTTTGGCCTTCAGGGTAAAGTTCTGTCTGAAAATGAATTTCTTGTCTTCATTATAGAAAAATCAGTCTACACTATGGCAGTTACTTTACTGTGTAGGAAAATGTACAGCTAAAATCTGACAAGTAAGTCAGATTGAGTGGGGGGAGGGATAGGTTAGTGGTTTGAGCATTAGCTTGCTAAACCCAGGGTTGTGAGTTCAATCTTTGAGGGGCTCATTTAGGGATCTGGGGCAAAAATTGGGGATTGGTCCTGTTTTGAGCAGGGGGTTGGACTAGATGATCTCCTGAGATCCCTTCCAACCCTGATAGTCTAGGATTTCTTAGTCATGACAAGGACTTCTAGGAAAGTTTTTTTGTTTTTGAATAATAAGGTACAGATTGAGTTTACATTTTATCTCTCTTTCCATATCTTCTAAATGTAAAGACGGAACTGTATTGGAGTTACATAACATCTAATTTAGGTATATCATATGAAATACTGAAAAAGAGCTAACTTGGAGCTCTTTGATTTATTCCTGTTTTCAGATAATGTTCATTTTTAAGAGCTCTATTAACTTGAATATTTGTCACTTTTCTGACTTGCTACTGTTTTTGTTGCATTTTTTCTGTAAGAAAGTTTTCCTGCATTAATTGTTGTTCTTCATCTAAGTTCTTTGCTCTGTAGGGGGTCACCCCTAGGCAGAAGGCCAATACAAATCTCTGCACCATCTAAATTCCTCATAAGCCCTCAAATAGTGCCTTTAGTGGGACTTAATGGACCATGAGCTTATGCTAATCCTCAGCTCAGGCGTGAGTTTCAACGTAATTCAAGTGAAAGGGGCTGTTAAAGGAGAGTGTTCCCTCAAAGGTAAACAGTCTGATCCTTTTCTCCTGAAGGCATATCCTAAAGGGTGCTGAGTTCCTAAAACGCTAATTGATGCCAGGGGAAGTTACAAGTACTCAGCACCTCCACGGAGGTAGTTTATTGAATTCAGTGGTAATTTTGTCACTTATGTCAGCGGGAGCAGGAGTTTTAATTGTGAGGCTGTGTGGCTGGAACTCTTTTTTTTTTTTTTTTCCGTCCACTGTTCCTACTTTCAGAAAAAAAGACAACATTCTGTGTTGAAGAGCAACGTAGAAATATTTTAGTCCATGCTGCTAACGTTTGTATTTATATTTATTAAAATTTTCTGATAGGACATACTGAGAATGGTGGCAGGGTCCTGCTTAGTATCGTGTTACATGGGTATAAGCACTGTGGATACTAGACAATATTCTGACTAATGATTTGGATAATGGAACATAGAGTGTGCTTATAAAATCTGCAGATGGCACCAAGCTGGGAAGGAATGCTAACATTCTGGAAGACAGGATTAGAATTCAAAACAACCTTGCCAAATTAGAGAATTGTTCTGAAATCAACAAGATGAAATTCAGTAAAGACAAGTGCAAAGTCCTTTACTTAGGGAAAGAAAATTCCAATGCACAACTACAAAATAGGGAATAACTGGCTAGGTGGAAGTACAGCTGAAAAGGATCTGGTGCTTACAGTGGATCACAAATTGAATATGAGTTAACAATGTGATGCAGGTGCAGAAAAGGGTAATATTCTGTGGTATGTTTAGTCTTGAGAAAAGAAGATTGAGGGGGGACCTGATAAGTCTTCAGATGTGTTAAGGGATGCTATAAAGAGGATGGTGATCAATTGTTCTCCATGTCCAGTGAAAGAAGGATGAGAAGTAATAGATAAAGAAGCAAGGAGATTTAGGTTAGATATTAGGAAAAACTTTCTAACTGTAAATGTAGTTAAGCTCTGGAATAGGCTTCCCAGTGAGGTTATGTAATCCCCATCATTGGAGGTTTTTAAGAACAGGCTTGGCAAACCTGTCAGGGATAGTTTATGTTTACTTGGTCCTGCCTCAGCGTAGAGGGCTACACTGGATGACCACTTGAGATCCCTTCTAGCTGTACATTTCTATGATTCTATGGATTCCTGGATGCAGCTCATACTCTCATAGGCTCTCTTGCACAGAGCAAAAGTCAACTCCACCTTTTAGACTGTAAGCTCTTTGGAAGGGACTGTCATTTTCTATTTTTGTTAAGTGACACAATAGGGCCTCACCCTGTTTGAGGTCTGTAAGTGGTTCTCACAGTACGAATGATAAATAACAGTTGAAACTAGTTTGTATAGCTCCTTAAACACCCCTGATTATTTCTAATGTATTTACAGCTGTGTGGAGCAAAAAAAGGAACATAGTGTTGAGTGAAATGGGGTCTGGCAGCTCCCAGAGCCATTATTTAATATTTTATACTGGATCAAATGGCTGCATAGCAGTCTTAATCACCCAGAAAACTTACCCAGCCAAGAGCTAGACTAACAGCCACTGTTATGAAGAAGTGGAGGCCTGTAATTGAGTGACACACACATGTCTTCTCCTTTCCAGTGCATTAGTCAAACAGCTGAGCATTGTTGTTGCAGCAGAAACAACACAGGATCATGGGGACTGCTAGACATGCAGCATGTTGCTGAGCATGGTTTTGTACAACTCATAGCTGCAGATTTGTGTTATTGCAGCATATGCACTGATGTAATAGTAGTAAGTGCAGTGATGTTGCTATGAGGCACTGACTTCAATGAATATTGAGGGCGTTTAGCACCTCCCAGGATCAGGTCCTAAGTGGACAAGAGCTGTCTGATGTGCCAGGCGCATCTTCATTGATCTGCGTATAGCATTTTCACTTAGGTCTATTCTTGTTCTGGCCACATGTATTGCCCAGGGTGAAAGTCCCTCAGTAGGGCATGGAAGACACTGTATTTCTTAAAGCCCTGCTTCCCCACATAATGCAAACAAGGAGCGGGAATACAACTAATAAAACTAAGACCACCTAGTAATGGTCAGGGGAGTATGATTTTCTTCCACCCCCAACTGCCCGCTCTCTTAGCTCTGATTCTTGCTTCAGACTGGCATGCTGCAGAGCAGGATGACTACTTCCTCATGCAGGGCTTTCCCTGGGAACTGGAGTAAATTCTTGCCCCATACTACTGTCGGGTGGGCCTCTTGCTTTCTATTCTACTCACTCAGAGTGTCAGAGTACCTCCAGCCTGACTGAAACAACAGAATATAGGGAAGTGGGACAACCATCCCATGGTTTAAGGTCAGCCAGATTGTTACCAGTTGCTGCTGTTTTTAACGCAGTACAAAACCAAAGACACCCCAGAAAACATAGGCCAGTTTGGGAGCAGATCTGAAGACTAAGATGATCTGATATTTGTAACAATTGTTTTGTACCAGTGATGGTATTCTAAGCCTGTTTGCACATCCTCCTGGTCTTTTTTTGTTGACTTGTTTCATTAGTGGTAAGGTTAGCCATGGTGATATCATCAAAACAATGTATTTGGGTAACATTCAACATGAACCAAAGCCTGCATTTGGCATGTGCCAAGTGTGGAGTAGCATAGAAACCCACATGTGGTCAGCAGCCCTTCCAGCACACTCTAGTGTCTTGCTGTTGTCACCCCCATATCCTCCTTTCATCTTGAAAGCAGAACCCCGTAAAGTCAAACACACTGACTCAAATCTGTTGGCAGCTGTTGACTTCCTATCTCCTCCTCCTTGTTAACACCAATGTCCCAGGCCTGCTGATGACAAGCAACTATTCCTCCTTCGCTCCACAGATATGCTTCTGAGGGTCATTAGAGTCCGGCCATGCACCAGGTGTCTTTTCTTTGCTCCATAGAAGCTAGCACCAGTTATAACTATGTATTTCTGAAAAAACAATGTAAGAACTAATATTCTTTATACTTACTAGCTTACAAGCTACTGACATCTTATTTGCTCAAGTTGTTACAACTTTCAGAGTACTGTGGCTGTCTGGCATGATACAGGAAGGCAAAGATACCACTGAACTTCTTTTGGAAGTGCAAATATTTTCAGACCTCGTTTTTCAGCCCAGTCAACACATGCAAACAGTAAATATTGCATATGCTGTAACCTCCAAATATTAACTGGATTGATACAAATTTGGGGTTTGAGGATAAGGTTAATAATAATGAATTTGCTAACATGATTCAAACTATTCTCATGTGCTTTCCTATCTGTCTTTGAATGCAAATGTTGTTACAAAGAAAATGCTTGAAATGTCAACATAATATGCAATTTACATAGTTTTGTCATGGCCCTGTATATATGAAGCTTATTTAAGTTACTCAAATATGTATAATAATAAAAAAACTGTCTAACATAAGAAGGCTGTAGTATGTAATCAAATGGCTACTTTTGCTTTACAAACACTCACATTGTTTCAGCAGTGGAAAAAGCTTAGCTCCCAATTAAGCTTTCAGAATGATGGGATATATTTCATAGTAATTGTCGTCTTCTCCACTGACTTCAACAGCACTACAGGGATGACTTTACCAGCTATTAAAGTCAAGTCAAGTAAATAAAATCTGTATACATTTTTGTTTTAGTTGGCTGTAATATAACCTGTTCTAAAATTCTAGAAGGGCAGTTGTATATCTTCTTTTTTTTTTGGATCAAGCATTATAGCAACACCCCGTAGTGCTAAAATAGCTAAGGTTGTATCAGCATTTCTGTGACATACGAGTTTATACTTTACTTGGATTGCAATTTAGCACACAAAATCTCAGCTGGAAGTACAATACCTTTACTATGGTCATTTAAACAACAATAAATTTGGCAATTTTTAAGTTATGCCACTGTGGTTTTCCTTCTTTAAAGAAACAAAACAAAACTGTTTGAAACGCTGTGTGAGTGTCATTCAAAAGCAACTTTGATTTCTTTGTATAGTAATTGGTGAAGGACTTGTTTTTTAACATAGTCCAGGCATTGACCGGTCTAGTCTTGTTGTCTTCATGCAGCTATTCTCCCATTAACTTCAATCCACAGTTTTATTCCTGTGTGTGAGTGGGATTTTACATGAGGGACATTTTAATTTTGAAAACTGGCTACTGTACAACTGCTTTTTGTAAGGAATCTTGTTACACATGCTCGTGATGCATTTTTATATGGTAAACAGGAATAGCTCCTTGGTGGCCACTATGGATAGAAATATGGTTTCTGTCTGTCTTGTCAACCCTTCCTTCAGACTTGTGTTTTCATTTTGCCATCCTTTTTAATGATTAAAGATAAATTAGGCACAAACAAATCTCTTAAAATATTGCTGAAGTTTGGGCTTAAATGGACAATGTGGAACATTCAGATATTTGAGATCTGACAGTGTTATTCATTAACCTGCTCTCTTGTACCTAGATATTGTAAAACATGGCAATTACGCTGATCACAACTGTGCGGTAACGTATAAGGGTAGCGACGGTAGGCAGGTCCCAGGCCACTTAGCGATTTCAGGTCACATCCTTCTAAACTTTACCGAAAGCAACTCATCCAGGTCAAAAAGCCTGGGTGTAATGTGCTTGCAGTACATAACCGATAGACTTAACTGCATACATTGAGCCAGATGGTTCTATGGTGATCATGGTGGCCATAAAACTGAGAGCTAACTCAGAAAAATCATCACCCATCGGGATGTTAAATTTACTATCAGCCTCAGTGCCTCCAGCAAAACAAAATGAAAGGGTATAGGGTATGGGGGGGCGCCCATCTCAAACCATGGAGGCCAAGTCAGAGGGCACAGTCCAGAAATGGGGTCTTGAAAAGCTTTTCAGAGTGTGGCCCGCCGCTTAACAGAGATTTGCTCGTGAACACTTCCCCTCTTGTTCACAATCGTGCAGGCCACCTAGTTTCCAACTGATAGCTGAGTAACGTCCTTGTGGCAACTACATCTGTCATTTAATAGAAAATTAATATTGGCAAAGTATTTAATCTATTTGTAGCAATCTTTTAATGCAGTTTAGTATGTGGGAAGGGAGGAGAAAAAAATAGCCAGCACCGTCTGACCAGCCAAACCTCCGCGGATCAGTTTGGTGTAGAGGAGGCCTCAAACAAAGAACGATTCAGCACTCCTTAGTGCTGGGGGCTCTTGCCCTCATCCTAAAAAATAAATGAACAACCCCCTGTTGTGATATCACTTTCTGAAACGCTTTGTGAGTTTGTGAAAGCTATAGGTAGTTAAGCTGCTGAAAAGGCTGGTTTCAGCAGCAGGTGCGAATGGGTTTAAGGCTTCAATATTAAGCTGGCAGGTTGTGATGAAAGCTGTCATGATGGATTCTGGAAAAAGCCATATGTCTTGAATCAAGTTTAGTCAGGCTCCACTGGGTTGTAATATTGCTGAGGCTGAGCAGTTGCTAATATTAGGATAAGATGACTTTAAAAGGGCCAAGGGCTGAAACAAAATGCATTTCCTGTGCAATAGATTGGTGGCCGTGAAAATGCTAATCTTGCTTCTCTAGCTTTGGTTGTATGCCAAGCTTTGAGAGAGATCAGAAGCATGAAAGCTATCAAGCCAGCTCCTGTCTGGTCCTATGAGAGTGCACCAGGGAAGGGAAAGGGCACATGTAGGCTCCCCGTCTGGGTACAATCGGAACACAAGGACTGATTGTTTCTAGTGCCAGCACTAGGACTTCCCCTCAAAAGATACCAAAACATTTGCCTTCCCCCAATTTGCACTGGCCTGGCACAGGGATGGCACATCCTGCATTCTTTCAAAGGATGTGTAGCTGTCAAGGTTCCTCCCCCACTCTGAACTCTAGGGTACAGATGTGGGGACCTGCATGAAAAACCTCCTAAGCTTATCTTTACCAGCTTAGGTCAAAACTTCCCCAAGGTACAAAATATTCCACCCGTTGTCCTTGGACTGGCCGCTACCACCACCAAACTAATACTGGTTACTGGGGAAGAGCTGTTTGGACGCGTCTTTCCCCCCAAAATACTTCCCCAAACCTTGCACCCCACTTCCTGGACAAGGTTTGGTAAAAAGCCTCACCAATTTGCCTAGGTGACTACAGACCCAGACCCTTGGATCTTAAGAACAATGAACAATCCTCCCAACACTTGCACCCCCCCTTTCCTGGGAAATGTTGGATAAAAAGCCTCACCAATTTGCATAGGTGACCACAGACCCAAACCCTTGGATCTGAGAACAATGAAAAAGCATTCAGTTTCTTACAAGAAGACTTTACATAAAAATAGAAGTAAATAGAAATAAAGAAATCCCCCCTGTAAAATCAGGATGGTAGATATCTTACAGGGTAATTAGATTCAAAAACATAGAGAACCCCTCTAGACAAAACCTTAAGTTACAAAAAAGATACACAGACAGAAATAGTTATTCTATTCAGCACAATTCTTTTCTCAGCCATTTAAAGAAATCATAATCTAACACATACCTAGCTAGATTACTTACTAAAAGTTCTAAGACTCCATTCCTGGTCTATCCCCGACAAAGACCAGCATATAGACAGACACACAGACCCTTTGTTTCTCTCCCTCCTCCCAGCTTTTGAAAGTATCTTGTCTCCTCATTGTTCATTTTGGTCAGGTGCCAGCGAGGTTACCTTTAGCTTCTTAACCCTTTGCAGGTGAGAGGAGCTTTCCCCTGGCCAGGAAGGATTTCAAAGGGGTTTACCCTTCCCTTTATATTTATGACAGTAGCACAGGTTGCAGAAGCTTTGGGAGCTTCCAGTGGGCACTGTGGGCTGTGATACTGATGAGAGTACCTCCACTGTCCTCTGTATCTCTTGCCTCAGAGCCTTACTTTATTCACAAAATCTCCAGCTCAGTGTATTCCCAAGTCTAGGGCCTATTTCCTAGGTGAGTAGGTTATTCTCCAACACATGTTCTCTCTGAATCCTTGAACTTCCATCTTTCACTGGTCACGTGCCTAAGAAGCCTCTGTGTTTTCCACGAATCTGTTATATTTTCCCTCTCTTCTCAATAGGCCTCCTGTTTCCATTTTTGCAATACTGTACAGATCTACACTTATCATTACTCTCCATCTGCTGCCAGGCTCACATATGCATCCATTATCTTTCATATGCATTAGAGCAACTTCCCCTTGCCTTTTCTCCCAACTGCCTCCCAGCTAAGTAGCCCATCAAAATATGTATGCTTGACTGTCACCTCAACCTTTATTTCACAAGTGAATACAGTTTCACATCAACGTACTTGTACCACTTCACCTTGCCTTAATTGTGATTGTCCTGCCTCTTCTCATCTGTGTTACTTTTCCAGTCATCTTGCTCTGGACCACTCTCAGCTCTCACTGTCCAGGCACTTTGCTCATGTTACCCCCACCCTACCAAGCAAGCTTCCACCTGAACTGTTTCTCAGTGACTGTTTTGACTTTTTCTAATCCTGTCAAAGGCCCTGATTCTGTACCATTAATATTGAAGCCAATGGCAAACTTCCCATGAGCATATGTGATTGGGTGTACCTGGCCTTTGCGGCTCTCTAGAGGAGGCCCTGCCATCCTACTACACCTACCCCAGGAAAGGAGCAGTGAAGGTGGATCCTCCAGGCCTGCCTAGAGAAGGCTTATTGAAACAGGCAATCAGAGCCTAGCAAACTCAGAAAAAAGGAGCTGTAGGGCCTTAGCAGGTCAGTTCCCACGTGGGACCAAAGGGGCAAGGAAAGGTCCTCCTCTCTGGCCAAAGAAGCTTGAGGGATAAATAGAGATTTGTTCTGGTTGCATTTGCTTAAACTGGGGGAGAGAGGACCTGAGAATTTGAACCCTGAGTTAAGGGGTGAAGATAAAGGGGCAACGTGGGAAGAGACTCAGGGAAATAGCAGCAGCAAATGTGAGTGATATGTGGCTGCTGTTTTTATAGGATCCCTGGGTTGGAACCCAGACCAGTGGGCAGACCCAGGTTACCCCTAGGGTTGCCAGGTGTCTGGTTTTTGACCAGAATACCTGGTCATAAAGGGACCCTGGCGGGTCTGGTCATCACCGCTAAAAGTCTGGTCGGCGGCACAGTGGGGATCTGGTGCTAAGGCAGGCTCCCTGCCTGCCCTGGCTCTCTGCAGCTCCCAGAAGCGGCTGCCAGGTCACTGTGGCTCCTAGGTGGCCAGGGAGGCTCCACGTGCTGCTTCTGTCCCGAGTGCCGGCTCCGCAGCTCCCATTGGCTGGGAACCACAACCAATGAGAACTGTGGGGGCGGCACCTGCAGGCATGAGGGCACAGCACAGCGTGCGCCTAGGGGCCACAGGGATCTGGTGGCTGCTTCCTGGGAGCTGCGGCAAGCACCCCACAGCACCTCCTGTGCCCAAACTCCCTCCCGGAGCCCGCACCTTCCCACATACCCCAACCCCCTGCCCCAGCACTGAGCCCCCTCCTGCACCCCAAACCTCTCATACTTGGCCCCACCCCAGGGCCTGCACCCCGAGCTGGAGCCCTCACCCCCCTGCACCCCAACCCCCTGCCCTAGCCTGAAGCTCTCTCCCACACCCTGAAGCCCTCATTTTTGGCCTCACTCAGAGCTCACACGCCCAGCCCAGAGCCTATACCCCTCCCACACCTCAACTTCCTGCCCCAGCCTGGAGCCCTCTCCCGCACCCCAAACCCCTCATCCCCAGCCGCATCCCAGAGCCTGCAGCCCTAGCCGGAGCCCTCGCCCCCCTCCCGCACCCCAACCCCCTGCCCCAGCCTGGTCAAAGTGAATGTGGGTGGGGAGAGTGAGCGATGAAGGGAGGGAGGATGAAGCAAGTGGGAGGCGGGGCCTTGAAGGGACAGGATAGGATGGGGCCTCAGGCAGGGGGTGGGATAGGGGTGTTCGGTTTTGTGCTGTTAGAAAGTTGGC